AGCACGTTACCATTAAGACAATACGCTCATTATACTAATATAATTTCATTAGGGGTATATATTTTGCAAAGGTATTTTTTAAAAAAATTTCAAATTTGTCAATTTCACTGAATATCTTCTCGATTTTCAAAAATTCAGTTTTTAAACAATCTTTCGATTGATTAGCCATTTAAAAAAGATAAAAATGGAATTATTTATAAAAAAAAAATGAATGATGGCGGGATCGAACCCCGGCCGTCGGCGTGGTAGGCAAGCACGTTACCATTGAGACAACGCGCTCATTCTAAAAACATAATTTTATTAGTGGTATATCTTCAATATATTGAATAACTTTTTTCATTGAAATTCCACAAGATGTGGTTTCTCCTTTCCGCACGATCAACAGTCGGCTAAGTTGCAGTTAAACAAATGAAAAACAAAAAGCATTCGTACAGCAGAAAATAAAATTCACCCCGTCAACTTGATGGACACCCCAGCATTGCGTCTTGCGCCCTCCCTCTCTTGGGGTGCAGTACTACGATGCCGCTGGGGTCACTTAAACCCCCAGAACTGAGCCTCTACTTTAGTCAAAGATTTCACAGCATCTAAAATTATTTACACGAGCAGTTGTCTGGATTAGTTCATGCACCAGAACTGTGACAACTCCACTCTAATCTCTGTTTTCTATCTGGAATTTTTTTACTCCTCTTTTAGTCCTCCATAACATGACGTAAGTATGAAATAATTGCACATTAAAACAATCCATTTAATTTTTGAGTTTTTGAGGAATATTTCTCGGAATGTTTATTCATGAATTCTTCATAAATGCCATTCGAAATTGTCAACGTACTGAGAGTAAACCAGAGAATTCCTACGATACTCTAAAATTATCTCAGATTTTATAAATAACCAAGATTTTCTTCTCTCAGGTCGAAAGTATCTCGTGACACTCTTTACGAGTGTGTGAACGCAGTGATCCAGAGCTCCCAAGACAAGAAAAGAAAATTCCTGGAGACAGTTGAGCTGCAGATTGGCTTGAAGAATTATGATCCCCAGAAGGACAAACGTTTTTCAGGCACCGTCAAGTATGTTTCCACCTGACGAGGACTCCTTGAGGTTTTGCATGCTCCATGAAAAATCCATTGAAAAATAAACATTTGTTTGGATAAATAATTTCTTGCATTGGTGAAACCGAGAGGATTGCCTCAAGATACGTCAGGAAGCTGAGCTTTCCTCGGCGGACCCTTACCCAGGGTCTTAAATACTGGGGAGGTTTTATTACCGTTATTTCTTTGTCGTTAGTCATTGCAAGATCGTTAGATCCTGATGGTAAGTTTTGTCCCAATAATCACCAAAATATTAAATAATCCTCTAGTCTGGCTCAATGATGGTAATTAAATCCCTGGAAAATGGGAAGAATGATTTTGTAGTAATTCAATAGTAGCTCCAATTGTTTATTATTTATAATGTTTTTTTCTAATTGTTTAGACTGAAAAACATCCCCAGACCGAAAATGCAGGTGTGTATTTTGGGAGATCAACAGCATTGCGACGAGGCAAAGACAAATAATGTACCCTTTATGGACGCAGAGGCGCTGAAAAAATTAAATAAGAATAAAAAGCTCGTGAAGAAGCTCGGTAATAAAAAATAAATCCTCATTCATCCATCTCACTTCAACTCGTAGTATTATTTTATAAATCGACGATTTATTGATTTATTCAACAGCAAAAAAATTCGATGCCTTCTTGGCCAGTGAATCCCTCATCAAGCAGATACCTCGTCTCCTGGGTCCAGGGCTTAATAAAGCTGGTAAATTCCCCGGTTTACTCTCCCACCAGGAGTCGATGCTCGGTAAAATCGACGAAGTAAAGGCGACTATTAAATTCCAAATGAAAAAAGTCCTGTGCCTCTCTGTGGCTGTTGGACACGTCGAGATGACTCCAGACGAGCTCGTGCAGAACGTCCATCTCTCGATAAACTTTCTAGTCTCCCTTCTGAAGAAACACTGGCAAAACGTTCGCTCTCTCCACATTAAATCTTCTATGGGACCTCCACAACGGCTGTACTAAACATATTCGACATTTCCATTCTGTGGAAATAAAAATTCAAACGATCCAATTCAACGAGGTAATTACTATTCAGTAGTGAAGTGTTAGAGCCGAATGAATTTTTGTAATATATATTCTGTCAATAAAATAATCACAGAATTAATCACGGGTAATTAATTTTACCCTTTCACTTCTCAATAATTTTATTATGATTCATTGGGATTATTCTCTTCACGGGATAAAGGAAAATTTTCACATCCGTATACAAAACGGAGAAACCGGAACTCAACGACACACTGTCGCCAGATGTGAGGACCTTTGAAACATCGGAGCGACAGAACATCTCTCTGGGGCCTGCTACTGCATATCCTCTTAACATTAGCAGCAAAAAAAATTTCCCTCTTCCATTTTCTCTGACCTCAAACATATATTAGCACTATCTAGTTGTAAATTTTTTGCACATATTTAATGCTCAATTCGGGTTGAGGCTCACGGTATTGGGTTCAATTATAACAATATCAATTTCAACATATGCTTAAATATAATTAAATTTACTGGATTTATTGATAACAAATATGGAAACATGAATATTAAATGATTGAGTCCACCCCTGCAGAATCCCCTCTTTGGCTCTCTGACAAAAGATCGTCTAGAGAAGAGAAAATAATGAAAAAAAAAAGTAGGAGCAGGTGTGGGTCCTGAAGTGCACTTGCGCCCTGTTGAATGCGTGTTGGGACCCTTGGGGCCCCAAAACCCTTGTCCGTGTAGGTGTTAGTGAGGAGCAGGTCTAGTGGGACTGCCCCAAAGCCACGGGTCCCCTCGAAAATCCACCAACACGACAACGTCTTAAATAGATGGGCTTTGTGGGGGTTGTCCCACAGATATCCTTCGTCTTTCTTCTCAGTTTATATGCTTCTCTCGCTGTTGGAGCCTTCTCGTCTTTCCCAGTTGTGCTGGCAACCAGTACACAGTTTATACTTCCACTCAACAGGCTTCCTTCTCATTTATAACACCGATACTATTTAAAACTTTTAAAACAATTATTTTTATTACTAAAACCCCCATCAACAAAATAATTTCGTGGAATTTTCTGTGAGTTTCTACTGGGATTTACAGCAGCAAGTGATACATCATGATTGTCATCGCATAATTGGGTAAATTCATGAGACGAATAAATAATAATTGCATTATCATTCATTCCGATATTCATTGAGGTTCCGTAGACTGTGGAAATCGATGGAATCGATTAATTATTGATAAGCTATCGAAATCCTTGCATCCCCCTCTATTTTCTACTGTTCTCGTTTCCGAGAAAATATCATGGGAGGAAACGACGAACGAGATGATGTTGCAAAATATTGAGGATTATTCCCTCATAATTTACTGAACCGAGAAAATAATATTTCTACTGAATAATTAAGATGACGAATTTTTCTTATTATATTTCACAACTCAAAAAAAAATCAGAAGATTATTGCTAAGATATTTAATTGATAAAAGATAATAAAATAGGAGTAAATGGGAGTATCGAGCACTTGTTTATCCTCCGTTGCAAATATCCACCGACACGGAGACGTGCAATCAATCATAGATCGATGATAAATCACCATGAACGCGAATTTATGCGTCTCACCTTCGAGTATGCGCTCAAATAACCGAACAAGCTTGTCTTTCCCACAACGAATCGAAAAAAAAAACGGCATTGGGTCGCGGTATTTTGAAATAGATGAAGAGATCAACGATTTTCCTGGACGAAAAATAAATTCTCTACTCTGATTGATATTTTTAATCGCGTCACTGGTTTATTATCGGTTCGAAATGATAGAGTATTTAAGTGGATGCGCCGTATGGCATTCATGGAGAACAACTCGGGACTAGAGTGGATGGTTTACAACTTATCAGTGATATCAGTTTGAGAACAGATGCCCGGGGGGGTAGGGATTGGGGAGAGACACTCACTGGAAAACTCAGCCAGTGGACAGTGGACTTTTAGTCTTATCACAACGTTTCCATTATTTTTTTCATTTTCATTACCAATCGTCACCAAGAATTACTTGTCCGGATAGAAATAAAATCAAAACCGATTATTCGGTTCAACCGATCAACCGACAATTCGCTGATTTCATCGATTACGGATTGAATAATGCGTTTGGGGTATTTATAATCATCGACTGATGATTAAAATGTGAGTACAAATGAATTTTCAAACGCGAGACTTCCACAATCGTATTTTTTTACCGTCGGTGTGATTAATAAAATTATCTCCTCTGACTCAATGATGGAATTATCCAGAAAATAATCTGCATTCTCATAAGATTAATTTGAAAATGAGGATTCATCGAGAGATAATCGCCGAGTAGAAGCTGAAGGCACGAGTTGAAGATTTCCAGCTAGACCGGAAGTCGCTTCGGCTGCTGATAGTGCAAGAGTTGTTTTCCGGTTCAGCCCACACATCTGTGGTAATTTTTAATCGTCAGCTTGTGAAGTCGATGGAGAATATTTTGTTTTACTCGTGTTACCGGGTAAACCGCAGTTGCGTAAATCGACGGGAATAAAAATGCTTGTCTATTGAATAAAAAATAAATAAAATTTCATGCCACTAGAGTCTGTTGATACGATGAACAAGTGTCGGAAAATTTTCCAATCGTTTCATTACTGTGAAAACCGATTCTTATATCTCTCTTGGATTCCGAGAATTTTTTTTTATTTGTCTGCTACTGGATGGTTTGAATAGTTTGTGAATTTTCGTTTTGACTCGTCAATAGGATTTACTGACACTCCAATCATGTCTTCCGGTCTGCTCTTCCTCCTCCAATTGCTGTTCATCATTTCGATTTCCTCGGGATTATCAACGAGTGGGGAATGGGAGAGCATGACAGAATTTATAACAGAAGAACCTGAAGTCAGAGAGGAGACAGAAGAGGGAACAATCGATGGAATATCGAGTTCTTCAGAGAGCTCTCCAACAACGGATTATTCATCATTCATTCCTTGGGACATAACGAGCCTCGAAGAAGCCGAAGATATTTTGATAACAGCTGTGAAGCAAAAGGAAACATCGGAATCTATAACACCTCCTTCGAGCTCAGAGCCCTCAGTGACTCCTCCCTCGATCGACAGCAAAGACTTCCTCTCAAAGATCGATCAAACCACCACCTCGAGTCACCAGGTCATCACAAATATCATAGAAAAGAACGCGAAAACCTTCGAGGGCACTGAACCACCAGAGCCCCCATCGATTCCAGAATGCCAAGCCCCTGTTTCATTGGATTATGGAGATTACACTAGCTCTGATTTTACCTGGACTGCTGACACCCCAGGGAAGACTTCAAGGAATGGTACAGGTGGGAATCGATAAAAAAAATGTTATTAATAATAATTGTCTCTGAAAATTCTATTGGATTCCTGTTGAAGCTAGACAAAGTGGAGTTTATAATGTTTTGAATTGTTCAGGGGAGGGATGGAGTGACCCGGATATTATCAACTCGACCGAGTCATCCTTGACGGTGACCTGGAAGGCTCCAACCAGGAACATCAGCGTTCTGTACTACGTAGTGGCGTGGTTTCGAAGTGGTGACCCCGAACACTCATCTAAATGTCGGAGTTCCAACGAAACATTCAATTACACCATCACCAATCTCCAGGTCTGCACGAAGTACACCGTAAAATTGACATCTTTCATCGAGGGTGGGTCAGAGCAGCAACGAGTCATCACCGCAACCACCAGATTAATTGGTAAATCATGAGTTCAATCAGTAGAATCACCAGATATCACAGCGAGAATCACATCAGACTTCGCTGCTGTTTAATTCATGGGGTTATCGCAGTAATTATTTTTATTTATCGTTAATTACAGTGGAAAAAGATTCCCTGAATCTCAAGGTATCGGCAAAGGGCTCTGACTGGGTGAAAATAGGATGGAATTTACCAAATATCGAGTGTGTCGATAAGTACATCGTTAGTCGGTGTAATTCTGATAATTGCACATTCGCCGAAATATCTGAAACTTCCTACAATGCTACTGACTTAGTTCCTTGCAGAAAATATAATTTCACTGTTTCTGTTCATGGATCCCCCGGAGAGTACGGTAGCACAAGTATAGATTCAGAAACTGATTTTTTACGTAAGTTTGTTTATCTATCAAATTATTTTTTATTAAATAATAGTGGAATTTATTTTAGAAGTCTTTACAAGTTTGAAATATTTCCCGAATCGAAAAAAAAATCATAATTGCATGATAAAATTCATATTGTTACCCGCGAATTTTGCACAAAAATATGAATGAACCTGCAGAACCAGGAAAGCCCTCGCCAGCGTGGACAGAAGCAGGACAGCGGTCACTGAAGGTGTTTTGGACGTACCCCACGGGTTCGACCTGCGTGACCGCGTACAGAGTGATCCTTGATGATAATTCACAATGGAATCAAACGACCATAGGAAATGAAACGGATTTTAAGAGTTTGCCATCGTGCAGAGTGTACCAAGTGAGAATCGTTCCATTGACGAATTTCAACGACAGTGACCCCGAGGTGATCCAATCGAATCGAACCTTCCCAGCTGTCCTCAACCCACCAGGATTGGGCCACGGTCTCAACACCACTAGCACTCGAATATCACTGACATGGCGAGTTTATACCAACGAGGACAATAACTGCGAGAACACCACTTTAATTACTCAGTGCAACTCCTCTGGAGTCCTGGGGCACGGGTACGAGGAGCGCAATGGAACCACCGAGAACATCATCCCGAGTGGAACTAAAAGTGTCATTCAGAGAGTTGACATCGAAAATTTGAGTCCATTCACTCAGTACAGTTGTTACGCATCTGCTGGGAATTCCCAGGGGATGAGTGGTGAGAGCGCAGACATGTCCACTCCGACTAGCGAAGAAGGTAATAGGAATTTCATTTATTCTGGTTATTATTGCATTATTATTTTTCTTTACTATTGTTTTATCGTCAAAGAGAAAATCGGGAAAGAAATAAATGGAAAATAAATGGGAATAAATAATATCATTCCCCTGCAGTTCCTTCAGCTCCCGCGAATTTCTCATCGAGTGATGAGACAGACACAGAATTTATGCTGAGTTGGAAAGCACCGCCATATCTACCTGGTACCCTAGTGGGTTTTGAAATGGAGCTCATCATCTGGCCCCTGAACACAACAAGACCTTCGTGGTGCGAGGATCAGAAGGAGACGAATGATAGAATTACGAAAATCGGTGAGAGCGTATTCTCGTGGAGGTACGAAAATGCCACTCCATTTTCGATGCACAAAACAAAGATCAGGGCCCAAACCAACGCAGGATGGGGTAATTGGAGTGAAGAGATTTTCGTGGGAACGAGACCTGGAGGTGAGTAAATCATCATAACTTTATGAATGAATTTATTAATATATTTATCTATGACTGACAGCCCCTGGGCCTGTTTCCCTCCTCAACTACTCGATAATTCCGAATGTCCATGACCCCGATGTCATGGACTTCACTCTGTCCTGGGGCCAGCCCTGCTCCATCCATGGCGAACGCATCGAGTACTACAACGTTACAGCCATCGGTGAGAGGAGGAATTACGAGCCCCATAAATTCGAGGAACTAGTGCCTATCAATCCTCCCGAGTGTGTCAACGAAATCTGCAGGAGAGTAATGAAACTCAGAGAGGAATATACCTACACTTTCCACATTGCTGGAAAGGGAAGGGGCTATCCTAAACTTGGAGAACGAAATTCTATTACTGCAATGTTTCCTGCAGGAAGTGAGTCCTCTATTATTCAATTTCACGAGTTAAGGATGCCTGAAGAGACTGATGAGTATTCTGGGCGTAAATTTAATCTAAATTCGCGTTATTATTGTGTTCCAGTCCCTCCACTTCCATCAGCGAATTACACCAGCCTGATTACAATTGATCCTTACAAGGCCCGAAGAACAACATCGACAGCTGCAATTCTTCTCCCAGTGTTTCCTGAAACCTACGGTAAAATCCACTGCTACGCGATCATCGTAGCCAAATCCGGCTATAACAACATGACCCATTCGAGAATCAACCTTCTCAATGGGGAATGGCCCGATACGCCCTCGTGGTCGGAGTCCAAGTCGGCTGATTTCGAGATACCTTATCAGGCCGTCAAATTCTGCGATCACAATCCATGTACGTACTCTAAAGTTCCATTTCAGTTTATCGTATTTGATAATCATAATCAGGATTCTATTAATGTTTTAATATAGAATGAACAAAAAATGAGTGAAAGTCACATGAATCGGAATTTTGAGTTCTCAAAAATACTGAATTATCGCGAAAATTGTGGTTGTAGAGAAAAATACCAGAAGATATTTTTTCTCGAAGATTCAATCAGCCGTGAAAAAGTTCTCTGAGATTTCTACGTTCAATTGATCATTCTCGAGATAAGTCGATCACAAAGAAAAATATTGAATTCAATTTACCTGAGTTTCTAATAATAATCACCACGAGTTATCGCCCCTTCGAGGTTTATACGCGGATTTATCACTGTTTGAAATGAATACCAAGTTAATCACACCACTGATAAAGATGAATCAATTCGAATCGATAAACCTCACTGATTAACCTCGAGACGAGTTCTCTATTGAATTGGAATTAAATTTAAATGAATGAATTAATCTCATCCCGTTGTCAATAAATTCTGGAAAATAATTTCAGCATACATTGTCGATTATGGTAACTTGAAAGCTGTGAATTTCGTCCTGGGGGACGACACAGAGACCTGTCCGGAGCTCTCTTCAAACCACGGACAAAGATCTTACTGCAATGGGCCCTTGAAACCGGACACTTGGTACGACGTAAGGATACGGGCCTTCACCAACGGCGGATATCAAGACTCAACAATATTCACAGTAAAAACAAGTGGGTCCATTATCCGATGAAATCCCATTCAATTCAAGTGCAAACCCAATAATCTGAACATTCTCTTAACAATCATTAATTAATCATTAATTGAATAAATTCATCAACCGTCAATTTATCAGTTTAAATATTCAAAGGGAAGAAATATTTAATGATAATTAATTGTGGTTTTAATATTTGAAAAAAAAAATGTAAAGCTTCAGTTTGAACTTCTGGAATATAACTGAATATTAATGTCAAAACTGAAATATTTTTCAGATGCTGAGATGAGGGTGGCTGTAGTGATTGGAACAATATTTGGGATATTGTTCCTGGGAATTCTGACGACACTCATGCTTCTGGTGCGCAAATGTTCAATTCAAGCGTGAGTACTCGTTTTTTTTTAACTTCACTTTATCCAACAGTTAATAAACCAAAAATAGAATATTCCTAATTATTTTCTAATTACTCTAAAGCGATTCCACTTACAAATGTAATACTTGACTCTTAGTATCGGGAATCTGAGCCACATAAAAATTTCCTCGACTATCTGCAATAAAAAAAAATTCAATAAACAGTCCCCCCCTCATCCCAACGAATTCTTCAAGCGCAGCTTGATTAAGGCATTGACTCTGCTAATCACAGGCACTCCATTATTTCCTCCTTCTACAACTAATGAATTCGCATAAATAATTCAATTCTAAGAATATCTTCGCCTCGTGTATTTCCCCGACACGTACCGTAAACAATTTTCGTGCAACGAGATCGAAAGAGAGGGAGAGAAGAAAAAAAGGTAAAACCGATAAAACATTTAAAGATGATGGAATTGAATGGATCGAGTCATACTTGTTTACATGTCTCATGGTAGGTTTTATGGGAAATAATCAATATTTTTAGGTGACTCATTGGGAAGACTATATGCATGCATACATTGGATAAAAGGTGGCAAGGTCGACAGAGTGCGTTCGAAATCACGTGCAAATGCAAACCCACGGATCCCCCCAGTCTCTTGACAGTCTCGCCTCCTATCAGAACCCGATAGCCAAGTGCCGGATCCTGTCTTTTATTTTTAACACACCCTTCGTTGCTATTTTGGGGGACTATGAACTAGTGGCGCACGACCCTGTTACTCGTCTTCAACGCCCCAGTGTGTGGATCGCTTCCTAATTATCCCCCATTCTCTTCCTCTTTTTTTCATTTTTTATTTCCGTCACTTCCTGTCAGTCAGTCATCGAGGCAGCTTAGGATTTTCCTAGGTCTCTCAGAGCTCCTGGGTACGATGAACCAATCCAACAAACAATACCGCAATGAATCCATTTTTGCTATTGTTAACAAGTGCGTATCAACAAGTGGTGAATTGGAGTGTTTCATTTTTTTTGGGGAAGAAATTATCGTTTGCAGAATTTTTCATAAATCGAAATATTAGGCTTTGTCCGCCTTTTGCGGTGTTTGTAGAAATTTCGTGGAGTGAATTTTTCCATTTTTTTTTAACTTGCGAGGTGAAAAAAATAGGGCAATATCGTGAAAATTTTGTGGTAAATGCGTAAAAAGTAAATGTGGTGTGGATTCTCCAAGTATTTTTTGTAAAGAATTGTTTTTTCTAATGCGTGTTAAGACAAATATTTCTTCCTAGGGTTTCGCAATAATTAGGAGGAAATAATTGAAATGTGGTACGATTTTTCTAGGGTCTTGAGGCGATTTCTCCACTCGGATATGCCAGGATCTCCTGTACCTGCCCCATTTACGAGACGAAAATTCATCACTCACTGTCAACAGCTTGCGGACAACCCGGGTAAACTCAGTAATGAGTTTCAGTTACTCCAGACCCTCAGTGTTGACCTTCAGATGCCGACAAACGCGGCATGTCTCCAGGCGAATAGAAAGAAAAATCGTTACACCGATATTCTGCCATGTACGATATATTTCCTTCTTTTTATCCACATGCGAAAAAAAATTCTGAAAGAAAATACTTGACTTTCTCTAAAAAATTCTTCTGCATTTCCTCTCAACTCTCCAGGCGTTCCTTTCTATTGTTGATTCTATTTGAAATCGAATAAAATAGAGATTTTAATGAATTTGCATTTTCTTGTGCAGATGATTTTTCCAGAGTTAAGTTAGAGCCAGTTGACACAGACCCCAACAGTGACTACATAAATGCGTCATTTATAAAAGGGTGCGGTGGTGAGGAGGAGTATATCGCATGCCAGGGGCCCAAGGAGGAGACGACCTACGATTTCTGGAGGATGGTCAATCAATACGACGTCAAGCTTATCGTCATGCTTACGCAATTGGTAGAAAAGAACAAAGAGAAATGCCATCAGTATTTTCCTACCATGAAAGAGACATTTACCTACGAGAATATGAGCATTAGGTGCACCACTGAGTTTGATTATAGGACGTATACTCAGAGAACTCTAGTTTTGCAAAAGGTGAAACCCTATCAATCGATATTTAATTAAATCGGAGATAAACTGTACACTTTTACATTGTGTCATCTCGTATCACCGCTTGGCTAATGAATTCATGAATTAATTATTGGAGGAAAAAATCGTAGATAAAACTGGAAACGTTTTGAATTCAATGGTGTTTGTGATAATTAATTGATTTGTAATTCCAGGAGAATGAAAAGAGAACAATTATTCATCTCCACTTCAAAGACTGGCCAGACCACGATGTACCTGAGGACTTTGACCCGATGATCAATTTCTGTCAAATAATTAGACGTTACATAACGTCCACTCCTGGCCTTGCTGTGGTTCACTGCAGGTAAACAACATTCGTAATAAAAGCATAAGTCAGGATAAGGAGCGAACGGTTTAGATAAAGATTTTTATAATGTTCCCTGTAGTGCTGGCATTGGACGAACCGGAACTCTCATTGCCATTGACATTCTTCTCCAGCACATTAAGGAAAATAGGAAGCTCGATGTCTTTGGCACGGTTTATAGACTGAGGCATCATAGGATTAATATGGTCCAGAGAGAAGTGAGTTTAATATTATTGTTATCTGATCCATTCCAATAATTAATGAATTTTTCATTCATTTAGAGTCAGTACGCATATATTTATAACTGCATCAAACAAGTACTGAAGAACCCCTACTTCTCAAAAACCTGTAAGTATCTTCAGAGGAGAGAAAATATTTTTGCTGTTTTGCTGGTGTGAACGTGAATTAATTTTTACCTGAGAGTATATATATTTTTTAGATAAACCTCCATCAGTCGATCCAATAACCGTGATAAACGGCAAGAAGAAGGAGCCAGCCATAACGAATCTAGTCAGCAGTCTCGAGACTCGTATGTAGATTAAAAAAAGTCATGCCAAAAACCAGATAAAAATAAAATAATTCTCCCATTGACTATCTACAAACCGTTATTCCCCCAGCAAATAATAATTAACAGACTCAATGAAAATCTAGATAACTTAACCCGGTAGAAGTAACATGAGTTTCTTTATCGCAGAGTGAGAACGAAATGGCAATCTGAAACAGCAACGAGGTATGCTGACAGAAAAATCGTTGACATGAAAAATAAGTCACGCTTTGCTTATTGTTTGGTCTATGAAATGCTCGTTCGTCGCACTGGCTTTCCCTGTTTCAACTCTCAAACATTGTTTGAGGAGAAAATTAGTCGATCAATTAATAAACGATATGTTTGATGTATATTTTAGTGAGGAAGAGCAGTTTGTCGACATCAGTGGATTCAGCCGAGCAAATCTTCCACTCGTCATCCTCAACATCATCAAGTCCGAAATCACGAAATTGTTTGTCGTTGGGAGTCAAATATTCGAAATCCACGTCAGCAATTTGTTCAAAGCCATTCAATGATCAAATAGGTGCATTAATTATTTTTCATTATTAAATAATAATAATAATTAGCTCAAGACCTTTTTTTGTAGAAAGTAATGCGAGGTACAAAAAAAGTCGGCAGAAAAATTTTGCTATTTTGGATTCCGAAATATTCCGCAATAATTGACCGATCAAATTTAATTACGCATTTTCCAGTGAGATATAACACGTTGGATTTTCCTGTTCACGATATCGACAAGGAAGGAAAATCCAGTGCCAGTAGTCTGCACGGCTCTGATGACTCCAGTAATTCATTTTACGAGAATCTTCAGCCAATGAGTCGTTCGAAATCTGCGCATTTTATCAGTGAAGATCCAGCGGTGACTGAGAGTGAGTTAAATATTTTTCGAGAAACTCATCATGTAACCAGCTCATTAATTCTTACCCTTCCCTTAATGAAACTTCATTAATTCTTCCAGAACTGCTCGACACATCACTCTAAGCCAGAACTGTTCATCCGGCGATTAATTACCTCGAGAATTATTTTTTTACCTCTAGTGATGGTCCAAAGCCACTTGGTCTTTCACAATTGCACAAATAATATATCGATTTCATTAAAACTGTAAATATTACACTAGGATAATTACAATAAGGATCAAGTGCTCTTAATCAACGAATTCTTTCATTCCGATCTCATGGTTATATTGTTTTAATGGAAAACATAATTTATGTACAATAAAAGAGCTAATAATAAAAAATCAGTATCGATACTTTGTTGAGTAGTCCTTGGGAGAAACAACGAGACCTCTTCCCTTTCTCGCACCTCTGTACACAGTCTCGATTATGTCGATCATTTCCTGCTTATCCTCCAGGGTCCAGTTGATTTTATTATTATTACCTGTCCCAAGATCGATCATGATGTGTTTGTTCCTAAAGAAGAACATGACAGTACAGGGATCGTACAGCTCGTACATTTTATTGAAGTCTGGAACTTCTGTGATATCCACCAGGTAAATTACTGCGAAATTCTTCACCTTCTCGGCGATATTGTACAGGACTTCGTCCATCTTCATGCACATAGGGTCCCAGTCATGACCAAAACGAATGACCTATGAATAAAACATAATCCATATATTGCCTCTAAATCTTCAAAACATTGTCAAACGTTTTCCCTGAGGTTAACCTCCTGGAGATACTCACAACAACTCGATCCTCCTCCGAGAGGATGGCCTGGTCCACCTGCCATCCATTATGTAAATGAGAGAGCATATAAGACATGATGAAAACTGATATTCCTTTTCAAAACAGAAAAAAAATCACTCAAAATCGCAAGGACGTCAACAAAACTCTCAAATTCGTTCTTGTCTGCCCCAAAAAATGCAACACTCCATCAAACTGAAGTGATCAGTTTGTTTTCAGCCCCCACTCTTCCCTCGATGATTCATAACCCCACCAGTATTTCTGTTTTACCCACGTTGCAACGACATTTCTCGCCCTCCACTAGTAGAGCACGTAAACAGTAAACAAAAAGGATTCACTCATCAATAAAGCAATGTGATAATTTGAAAATTGCATCGCAGTTGGACGTACGAAGTTTAGACCGTTTAAAATGGCTGCTGGACGTGGAATACTGAGTCTGAGATTCAATCAAGACCAGGGTCAGTTCATTTTTTTTTTTTTTCATTTAACAGGAACAAAGGCACGTCCATTCGCCTTTTCCTCGTCAATCAATTTCTTGCATTTGGCCCGAGGATGAAGGCACCGTCAGAGGATTTATTGGAGTGGTTGGATTGTTTGGATTGTTTGGGTTTCAGGGTGCTTCACGTGTTGCATGGAGTCAGGACTGAGGATTTACAATGTTGAACCCCTGGTGGAAAAGGCCCACTTTGACAGTGACCTCATGGGTAGCATTGCCATCAGTGAAATGCTCTGGAGGACAAATCTCATTGCTCTCGTAGGTGGCGGATCTCGGCCCAAATTTGCGGATAATACTGTTCTGATTTATGACGACGCCGCCAAGAAATTCGTCCTGGAGATCACATTTACCAGTACCATCAAGGCTGTGAGACTTACGAGAGATAGGTGCGTATTCCAATATTGCAATTATTGCTTACTCTTTCAGATTTGAAATTCGTTGCGGCATTTTATTTAATTGGATTCATGATATTTTATTATCCCTTTTATATAAATTCTAGATTGATTGTTGCACTTCAAGGGGAAATCCACGTGTTCTCGTTCCCATTTTCCACTAGGAGATTACTGACCCTCGAGACGAGGGACAATCCCAAAGGACTTATGGAGGTCGCCCCCCTGACTAGTGCATATAAACAATTATTGGTGTTTCCTGGACACAAGATTGGGAGTGTCCAGCTGGTCGACCTTGCTGCCACTGTTGGGAGTTCCTCTGCACCTGCGACCATTCCTGCTCATCAGGTGAGTCCCTTAGATTATTAATTAAATTGTTATTAATTAAGAGATGAATATTTTCGAAATAAACAGGTAATTGATTTCATTATCAAAAAATGGAAATTATTCATTCCGAAATTATCGAATTATTTCAAGGGAGCATTGGCTTGTCTGGCTGTTAATTCAAATGGAACAATGGTCGCAACAGCCTCAGCCCAAGGAACCCTCGTCAGGGTCTGGGACAGCGTCAGGCGACAACTCCTGGTCGAACTACGACGTGGGACAGACCCCGCCACTCTCTACTGGTATTCAAAATTCATTCAACGACTAATTAATGTAATTGATGACTAATTCACCGTAATTTCCAGTATAACATTCAGCAGAGATTCCGAGTTCCTCTGCGCGTCTAGTGATAAAGGGACTATTCACATATGGGCCCTCAAAGACACTCGTCTTAACAGGAGATCGACGTAAGATCATTTGTCACATTGATTCCCACCTTTTCCATGAGACCGATTCAGTCATGTTTGGGTAATTGCATTTTCAGGTTCTCAAAGATGGCCTTTCTTGGAAATTACGTCGAAAGTCAATGGGCCCTCGCTACATTCACTGTACCCCCTGAATGTGCATGTGTCTGCGCATTTGGACCGCACCATTCAGTCATTGGTTAATAGAATAATTTTTTCCGATAGAAATTCCACTTGATATGAATTTTATTTTTCATTGATTTTATGTATGAATCTATTACAGCTGTCTGCATGGATGGAACGTTCCACAAATACGTTTTTACGGCCGAAGGGAATTGCAATCGTGAAGCCTTCGATGTTTTTCTGGACGTCTGCGACGACGACGACTTTTGACACCTGCACAAAGAATCCTAGACCCCCTAGATTGTTTTACATCACTTTATGTCGAAAGCAAGGAAGAACTGAACTATTTGCAGATTGTAGATACTAACCGAGCGAGAGACAATGTTAAATCGTTTATTCTGTGTACATAATTTTTTAACAAATATAAATGTTCTAAGAAGATTACACAATCTTGCCTTCTAGTCAATTCTTCTATCGGGGTGAATCTGTTGCGTTCGTTCTCTCCGGTATTCCTCTGAAAATAATGCACAAACCGTCAATCTCGCGAAATTAATTTTCACGTTGATGATTTATTTGATAAAAATTATTTCGCTCACTCCATGCTTCAGGAAAGGCGAAAGCCGTGATGGTAGGACTGAAGGACAGCCCAACCATTCCAATTAATCCGAAAAATAACAGAGTAAACCTTTTTGTTGTACTTTTCTTCACGCCCCGCAGCTTTCGAAGAGGATTTTCTCTCTCTTCTTCGCTCATTTTTTGAATTTACTAGTGAAGTTATCAAGATTAAATTCAAAATGATGAGAAAGCAGAACGAATAATCGAGTATCAGATAAATTAATAATTAATAATTAATTAATTGTAATACATTTAATTAAAAATGTCTAGTCGCCTTTATCCTTCCAATCTTTTATTCGCGAATGACTTCACTATTATTTCATACTTGCAGTAGAGAATTGCGGGTTTCAGATGCAGGTTATGATTGCAAGTAAAAACTCATCAAAACAGCATTTTCTAACCTAGAAATAAAAAATTGGAGCAAAATTGGAGTAACCTCCGCCCGGGTGCGATTTAGTGCTCCCAGAAAAGAAATGGAAAATAATTTGAAATTGCGAAAATGTTGATGAAAAATTGTTCTCAAGAGTTTAATAGTGATAACAACCGATAATTAAGAACGAAGTGATGAAATAGTAATGGCTTGATAATTAGTGATAAGTGATAATTGATAACTGTTAAAGATTCCTGGACAGAGGTACCAGAGAAGTGAAATTCGAGAAGAATTTCTAATAATTCCTCTTTTGGTTGGGGAGTTAACCCGATGATATTTATTTAGTCTTTAATCCTCGGGGAAATGATAACGATAAGGAATCTGGGGTACTGCGCCCTGGCAGGGGCAATTCGCCTGCTATTGATGAACTCGGAGCTCCAGAAAATAATCGCCGACAGGGTCGAGGTCTCAACGGCCTTGAACTCTTGGAAACGAGTGACAGAAGGTGTCCACTTGAGAAAATTCAACATCGACCCCTACACCGGTGATTTATTCCACGAGACCCCGGTTGGACTATTGGCGTTCACCTACATTCACGATTATTTATCAATCTGGGCAGTCAAATGTATTTTCGTACTTGCTGACTTGATTACTGCCTGGTGTCTCTTTTCCACTGCCCGCCTCTATATTGCAGAACTTGTGAAACGAGAGCGAGAAATATTAAAGAAAAAAGAGACGAAAGACACGGACCTCTGCTACACGCCTATCTCGAAGATCGCGAAGACGTCGGTGCTGTACGTCCCAGCAGCTTATCTGTTTAACCCATTCATCGTTCTGAACTGCGTGGGCCTGACGACGACAGTATTCACGAATCTGTTATTCTCGGCGATGTTGCTGTCGATGATAAAACGTTCCAAGTTGGGAAGCAGTTTTTTAATAGCCCTCCTGACGCTCCAGGGGCTGTACCCAATGGCACTAATGGTTCCTGCGACGATTTACACAACGAGGGATTTTCCCCAGGGCAAGAGGTTCCTTCCAATCACCCAAATGATTTTTCTCTTCTCCTTTTTTTTGGGAGCCCTCTGCTACCTCTCCTTCCTCATCATGGGGAACTGGAATTTCTTAGGGAATACTTTGGGCTTCATCCTGACTGTTCCTGACCTGCGCCCTAACATCGGACTGTACTGGTACTTCTTCACAGAGATGTTCGAGCACTTCCGATGGCTCTTCATCGCCTCATTCCAGATAAATGTGGGAATATTGTACGTTATTCCGCTCGCTCTCAGCCTCAGGAAGGACCCGATGCTCCTGGCATTCGCCTATTTAGCTATTCATGCAATTTTCAAGTCATATCCATGCATCGGCGATGTTGGGTTCTACATGGCATTGCTACCTCTGTGGCGACATTTATTCAAACGTAAAAAAAAAATCTTAATTCAATTGTTGTAACAAATCCACTGAATTCATTGGCAATTGTTCTCTTGATGTTTATAGATATGCAGCAGGGCTTCCTGGTTGGCTGTTTCATGCTCTTCTGCACAGCGTTCGCCCCAACAGTCTGGCACCAGTGGATCTACTCGAGATCAGCGAATGCCAATTTTTATTTCGGTGTCACTCTAGCATTCGCCATCGCTCAAATATTTTTACTGACAGACATACTGTTTGCTAGTGTTAAAAGAGAACTGGCTGTCCGCCACGGATTGTCAACGGAGATCAACGGAAAGAAAGCTCAACTTATTTTGGAATAATCTGATAATAATAATCAAAGAAAATTCAACTGAAAAAGAAACTCAATAATTTCACGATTTTTCCTGCGAAAAAGAATTCATCGTATGATCTAGAAGATAAGTAGAATCGGATGCATTGAATACCGAGTGAATGATCAGTTGAAATGATTCAGTGTGATTGCGCCAATAATTGATTAATCGTGATGAAATAAAAGTTTGATGAAAATAATTGCAACGAACAAATCGAAATTCAATGAAGAACTCCTCATTATTGCATTATTATGTTGCATATCAATAAAGTCAATAACATAATCAATTTTTTCATCTCCACTTCACTTCTTCATTCATTCATTTTTTTTTTAAAGTTCAATTTCTCCGAAAAAATTGAACAATCATAGAAAACTCGCAACCGATGACGCAAATAATATCCGCTGAATCGTGATGAAACATATGTTTCTTATAAATAAAATCGTATCGATTAATTGCCTCCACTAATTGCGGTGTCGTCGCCGAAGTCACTGTGGCATTTAAATTTCAGCTAAGTAGGTCAACCGCTCAGCTGTTCGGGCCACTACCCTTCCACTCCATGAGTACACTGAAGTAAGCTATTTAAATCGCCTTTGAAAAATCCCAACGAATTCAACGGGAACGGTGGCAAAACACACAATCACGCGTTTAAAGACTGTGTAAACATGGACTCCTTAACGTGATATAATTGAAATTACTCGTTAATTACGCGCCAGTTGTCACGGATAAATTCTCCAAACATACCGGTGACACTTGAAATATCCATTTACCCAATCAATTCAAAACAAAAAATCCTCCCACAACATAACCTGCGAAAAACCTGTCCATTGCAATTGAAAAATGAAAATAATTGGAGGAAAGTGAGTTAAATATAGACGTGTGATGTTCCGTTTAACCTGCTAGGAGTTTTCCAACGCTTGGATAATTTTCACGTCGTTTTCTTCATCAATGACAGGTAAGACGTGATTATTGTGAAATTTTGAGGAATGCCCAGGGTCATCAGAAGACTCTTATGTTTTCGGAGGAGGAAATTCGAGGACTGTTGCACGTACAAATGGAAATCCAGGTCCTTCCATCGACCACTGATTCCTACTTTCTTATTTTAAATATCAAGTGAGATGAAATGAGTTTTCCTCGAATAATCGGGGGATGTGAAATTATTATTCTCGTCGAAGACACCCTCACGACTTCATTCTCACTGATATTTTTTGAGAGGGAAGAGGAATTGATGAGCTAATCGGTTATTCCAGGAAGGTTTTAAGGAAAATGGGGCAGACACTGAGTGAACCAGTGACCACAAAGACCTCTGCCTGCTGCAGGGATTCTAATTTCCTCGTTGGTAGTTCCTGCATGCAGGGATGGAGAATCAAGATGGAAGACTGTCATGTTCATATTCTCTCGCTTCCGGATGACCCTGAGGCATCGTTTTTTGCGGTTTACGATGGCCATGGAGGGGCTACAATGTCTCTACATGCTGGAAAACATCTTCACGAGTATATCACGAGGACACCAGAGTACCAGGAGGGGAAAATTGTCGAGGCAATGGAGCAGGGCTTTCTGCAGCTGGATAAAGCCATGCAGGCAGACGCAACACTGAGGGCTGACAGAGCTGGAACTACTGTCATTGCAGTATTGATCAAAGACAACATTTTGTATTGTGTAAGTGCCCTAGTTTCCATGTACTCCTCGGGGCAGTCAACTCGTCTTGTCAAGTGAATAATACTTGAATTGTCTGGAGACTGTTTCTCTCTATCCCTGCAATTTTTTTTTTCGATGGACAAAACGAGAAAAAAAATAAATTTTTTCAATTGAAAAAAAAAACCATCGTTTCAGGCGAACGCAGGGGACAGCCGAGCAGTAGCGAGTGTTCATGGTGAGGCAGTGTCCTTGAGTCGTGACCACAAGCCCTTCCTCGAGGATGAGAGGAAGAGAATCGAAGCAGCTGGGGGCTGGGTGGAGTTCAATCGAGTCAATGGGCATCTGGCGCTCTCCCGAGCTCTCGGAGATTTCAAATTTAAGTGGAATGGTAAAAAATCTGCTAAGGAACAGATCGTAACAGGTAACTTGATAAAAAAAAATCATTTGCCAATCACTCGATCGAGGATATCCTTCATTCGTCGCAATATAATTTTCTCAGCTTTCCCTGAAGTTCAAAAATTTGAGATAACCAATGATTGGGAGTTCGTTATCCTCGCGTGTGATGGAATCTGGGACGTGATGACCAGTGAGGAGGTCATCGAATTCCTGAGGGAATCCATAGCAATTGCCAGGCAGAATGATCCAGACCTTCTGGCAGACGCTGAGGCCGTCTATCCAGAGGAAATATGCGAGGAGTTGATAAACCGATGCCTCGCACCAGATGCACTGATGGGCACTGGCTGCGACAATATGACAGTCGTACTGGTATGTTTTCTCCACGGGAAACCGTCTTTACACCTAGAGCTGCAGTGCCAACGTATCCCTAGGACTGGGACTCGTCCAAAAGAGGAGTGAGTCAGACCTTTCATCTCGTAAAATAACTGAACATCGATTCATCTAGAAAAATATTGATTAAAAAAAAAATCCATCCGGAAGCCAGGTATAATAAAATAAATTCGATTTTGACATTCCAGATTAAGAAACGGAAATCACTCTATCCCTTCGTCAGACGCAGAAAATCATAATGTGGATAAATCAGAAGAGAATCAAGAAACCATTGAGGAAGACAGCGAGGACAGCGATAAAATAGAGCAGAATTCGTCAGGTGAGGGACTAGTGGAGAAATTCCTGGAAAATCACTGGCCGGATCCATCTAAAAAATAATTCCCCAACGTCCGATGAAGAATGAATCACATACAAAATTTTCTACACCGCTGCGTGAGCTCTTCCCCACCTCAGATTAATTTTAAAAACTTGTATATAATAATAATGTGTATTCAATTAACAATTGATAGAATACAAGATTTTCAACGATACACTGTCCTTAAGTTTCTCATAACTCGATGTTTAAAAACAGAAAAAAAAAATAATGGAAAACCGTTGAACAATCGCATCACACGTTCGAATCCACTGAAGAGGAAATCCTGTGGTTAGATGGTGAGAGTTTATTAGCGGGAATTGCCGTCTTATTTTTATTGTTAAAACCCGTAACGATCTTGAATTGACGAAACTGCAGCATTTGCAAGGGAACTCAATCTCCCCGCAACTTTATTTACTCCCTGGCGAACACTTTCGCGCACATCCTCCAGATCCACAGATTGGGTTCGAGCTGTTATATTGCTCATTGACAGGGATGACGATGGAGAGGTGGTGCCTGTGCCAAAATAATCAGCTGATGATATCGACGATTGACCCTCAAATCGACGCAAATTACTCTTACGTTCGAACTGAAAACAAAATCATTCACAATGGATGAATTTAATTTACTAATTCTTGCGAGTAATTCAATAGCTTCATTTAATTCACGATTTATCGTGAATAATCTATAGAATGAATAATTTTCTGACAGATTCCCAGAAATTAAACCCAAAAATTGATAAAAACGAATGAATTTGATTTACTGAACCCCTCTAATTAATTGCAGTAATAAATAAATGACGAAATTAAGACTTACTGAATCATCATTATTACTATCCCGGAAGTACTGATCAGAACTGATGGCCTTGGCCCCTCCGAATTTTCTCTGGGCCTCGCCATCAGTGTTGGAACTGCCACTGGAAGTACTTTTTACATCTCCCCGACCCCCATTGAGCTTCAGGGGAGCTCTCCTGGGCATCTCAGGCTCTGAGATGACCACGACGTCCTCATTTCCCGTTTTGTAATTTGATTTCGTTGGATAGGGAGAGCTAATTGCAGAAAAAAAATCGTCTAGGTCAGGAACGGATCGAGTTGAGGGACTGTCGATTTCCGCGTCATCTCGTGAGTTGTATCTGGATTCATTTGCAGTGGCTTTACGACCTGACGACTCCTGAGTTATGACCTTCATATCGTTAAAGGCCGAGTGACTGGCTCCACTCCTGGCATTGAATCCCATTCCGAGACGTTCAGCCTGAGATGCTTTTTTAGGATCGAGCATTTTGGTCCTCTCCTTGACGAGTTTCGCCTGCTCTGTGAGATTCTGCTCGTATTTGTAAGCCAGACGACTGTCAATCTCAGCTTGCTCCTCTTTTCCACGCTCTGGGACCTCCTTGGGCTCCAGGACATTCGCCTCGGCGATGTTTTTCTCGAGTTCATCGAAATTAGTGGTGACTCTTTGGGCCCCAAGTCCTCCAGTCTTCTTCCCGAGCCCTGGTCGCCTGGTCTGTACCTTTCTACCACCTATTGTGGGTTTTCTGTCGGGTTGAACACTCGGGGGGGAGTCTGAGAGCTTCACCGTCGGCCCCAGACCACTGGCAGGTGAATCTGCTGTCGATTCTGGTCGATTTTTGGGTGAATTATCATTTAAGAGAGATTGTGCGGTGAGAGCAGCCACTTTGGGCTGGGCTGGGACAACTGGGGTCGACCTGGCGTCTTCGAATGTCTCGTGTTCTGTGAAGAAATCAACTTCTGCTGGCTCTTCGTTTGCATCCACGTGATCGTCTAAATGCAACTGTCGGGGAAATTTATTTTTTATGGAGAGTTCTTCCAATTTTAAATTTACTTTTTAAATTCATTCTTTCATTTCTTATTCGTTATTTGAAAAATTCATGTCAGTAAAAAATCAAACAATGTGGGTGAGGTGAAAATATTGTTTCACAGCAACATCATATCTCATTACGAATAGTCATTACGTGAATTGTGAATAGTGAATTCAACGATGTGTTAATAATTTTATAAACGGCTAAACCAAAAATCGAGGACTTTGGAGCTCACCGATTTCAATGGATTTGAAGGAAGAATAGCCTACAATTGTTAATGAACAGATAAAAGAACAGTTTACAGTTGTTTCAATCGACTCATGAAGAGATCAGGGAATAATCACCTTAGTACCATGACGACGCATCGCCTGGTTGGCAGCTTGCGATAATTTTTCTCGATACTGCATGGCAGTGCGAGATTTATACTTCTGCTGGGCATCGGTCGTCGTGCAATTGTGCTGGGAGAAAAATGTCCTCTGGAGGAGAAAAAAAGACTCAGAAATGGCAAAATCATGTTCTCAAAAAAAAATCAATTGTGAAAGAAAAAATTCCAATATTAACCGGAATACTTTCCCTTCACAATTAATTTTTTTTTTACTCATGGATGACTTACGGCGTGAGCATTGCCTCCCAACTGCATGTTTCTCAATTGGAGCCATGTCCAATTGGTGTCCAGCTGTGAGGACCTGACGAAGGTCAAGTGCACACCCAAACTCCGATGAACAGCTGAACAATCAATGCAGAGGAAGACACCGTATGTCACGCTGCACCAAGCTGGATTCTTCGCATTGCAGTCGAAGCATGTCTGAAGATAATTAACTAATTTGTTAATCCCCTTGAATCAATAACTCCAAAAAAAAACCCACATATTGAAAAAACTCAATGAAAATTGTATTAAATTTATCAATTTCCACTTGTGATCACTCTTTCCCGTTCCTTATCGTTTGGGGACATTTCAAATGTGTGAAAAAATATTCACAATGCAGTCGCTAATTAACCCATCATAACCTCTCCATAAAAAAAAATTGATAAGACCTCAAAAAATTATTTTCTGCTGCACCTGTTATGAAAATCGACAAACAGATATTGGAAGGAAATTCCTGGAAATTATTTAGAAGTAATTAGCGATGGAAATGTGTGGTTGATGGGTTGGACTCGTGTGCAAATTGGCTAGGAAGGTATAATTTTTTCAATATTTCATTTGTCCATTTCAGAAAGCGGAATGTTTTATACCGATTTTTCGAATTTGAGACGTACCTTGTTCGTGGGGATAGACCTCAATCTTTTAAATATTTCCTCAATATCAGACTTTGTAGGGCCTGGATCTGCCATTTTTGACGAGTTGTCAACGTGAGTCAGGCGGAATTGTGGGTAACGTGTAAGTGGTTGTGGCTTGGATTTGCCCCATTGGTTGCAAGAAGGCGGGGAAAACAAATGGAAGAATTTTTTATCAGACTTTTTATTGGATTTTTTATTTTTTTTTTTTACAAAAGAAAAATTAATCTCATGAATAAATAATTAATTTAAAGTGTTGTTATTCGTCGTGCTCGAGGCTCTGGAGGATGTGGAAACCGGCGTCGAGACTTAGGGGAAAGCCCATGTCGGGATCGAGAAGCTGAAGAGTTGGAGCCTCTCTGAAGGTGTTGCCAAACTCGTCGAGCTCTTCAAACTGGATTTTATTCACGGCTTCATCGAGCTCCATACTGTCACAACAAAAACGAATTCAACTCGAGCTCTTAATACGAATTTATCAATTGAATTTAATCAGTTGAAATATTAATTCCCACTCACTTGACACTCGCACTGAGCTCCATTTCCCTCTGCTCCTCCATACCCACTTCCACCTGACTTTTTATTTCTTTCTCATGACGAATGACATAATTTTGATAATAATCGTGGAGATCCACCACACCACCGATGCCAGTTTCAACGAGTACTCGTTCCATGTCATCCTAGAAAAAAAATTAAATAAACGACTCGAAGAACACTCCATTGAGTGTTGAAAAAGATAAAATTCGGAATTATATCTATATTTTTTACTCACTGGAAAACCGTGCTCACTCTGTTCAGAAGCAACCTTCAGCAGCAGTGTCATCTTCCTGAGGAAGTGGTCAGCCACGTCTGTAAGGATCTCAATGGCAACGTCAGAAGCTGTTTGATACCCTAAATGTGCTGAGAGGACGATGACCGAGTGTTTCAGTAAATTCCTCGCTGTCGCGGGTTTCAAATGATGCACTGTCGAGACACTCTTCAGCTCTGCCCTGGAAATACAATTTTCAATTCAAAGACAATTCCCCCGCGAAATTCTCCGTAACGTGTATTAATCCCATGACATTCTGGAGGATTCACATACTTCTCTGGTCTTGGTGATAGAAAATTGAATGGATTCGTTGGTTTCTTCATCTGCGGATAATCCTGCTCGTCAACCTCTGATACTCCTCGAATGAGTGTGCCCTCGTCCTGAATAAAAAATCATTAATCTCCTGTAGGCCCTCAATTTTATTTTTCAAAATTGAAATTACCATCGATCTCAGTTGACCGTGCAATTGAATTGTGTTCAAGACGTGAGGATTATCCATGGGCAGTCTGTAACCGACGAAAATAAAAAAATCATCACTGAGTAATTAAAATCAGTCAATCAATTCCTAGAGTCTTTCATAAAAAAAAATATGGCAAAACATAAAAACCTACTGTATGAATTCCGTCTGTCTCTCGGTCTGGTAATCACAGTCTGTTCCATTGGAGTCATCGAGCACCTGTCTCCAGATATTCTCGATAATATCAGGAGTGATAACTTCCTGTTTATGCGTCTCTCTAGCTGGTAATTCTCCCCAGTGTCCCCCAGAGCTGATATTTTTACTGGACTTCATTAAATTCTTAAAATTAACCCCGAGAAAATATTGAGCAACGATTCTACCGAAGGACAACTGTACCCCAAGCACCATCAACAATCGAATCAGTCGAGTCCTCACATTTCCTCGAGATCTTCCATCAGGATATCATGTTTTTATTATCAGAAGTATCTTGAACAATGTTTACATATATCCTACATAAGCACCTTCTCCCACCCCTCGGTATCGCCAAGCGATTCGTGTAAAAAGGCGCAAGAGTTGTTCTCTCACAATTTCTTCATCTCCGTCAGGTAATTGCGTCTCAATTAACCTCCGAAATCATCATTCTATTCATTTGGCCGCACACTTACACACAAAACCGAAAACTGTTTACTTCAAATCTTTATTATGATTTCCCTACGGTTTTTGATTTTTCAAGGTTATGATCAAATGCGCTCAACAATTCGCCATATTGTTTGATCTTTTTTTTTTAATTTCACGGCCGCGCATGCCTGGAGCGCAGTGGGAAATTTGGATTTGAATTTTCGAGAAAAACGGCCTTTTGATATTTTTTCGTAACATCAACAGTTTTTCAGGTATATTGCATTTCAGGGGAAATGGTAAAATCCCAATTATTTCGCTTGTTATTAATTTTTTTTTTGTCACATGTTTTTTCTCATTATTTAACAAGTGAGTAATGGAGAGCACTGCAGCATCAATTTTAACGAGAGCTGTGGAGATGGACAAGAAAGAACAATACACCCTTGCACTAGTGCTGTATCAGGAGGGCCTGCAAATCCTAGTGGATTCGATGAAAGGTCATTTTTTGAAATTGAATTATAAGTCCAAATTAAATTATCAGAAAATTATTAATTGACCTTTGGACTTGCGAATTTTTTAAAACCATTTATTATTTTTTCAAGTGTTTTATTGAGTGTTATTGGAATGAATGGAAATATTTATTTGCTTCACGAAGGTTTAAAGGACGAAAAGAAGAAGAAGCACTTCTCGGCTAGGATAGAACAGTACTTCAAAAGAGCGGAAGATCTGAAGGAGTTGATACGAAAGAGGAAAGCCGAGGGAAAATACAGGGAGCAGATGAAAATAGAGGCAGGTAGCGTCGGTCACGGGTATAGGAGTCTCTTCGGAAGATTCCTGGATGACACCGTGACGCATGTCCACATCGAGGATCCGTACGTCAGAGCTTATCACCAGGTGATAAAAATAAAAAAAACCACCGATGCAAAAAACGTCAGGTCTGATCAATTTCCGGATTATATTCTGTTTCAGTGTTTAAATTTGGTAAGATTGTGCGAATTAGCTGTTCAGAGGTGTAAGTCCCTGTCAAGAGTTTCTCTACTCACCACTCAGGACCCGGAGGATGGAAAAAATCAAGTGAAGAGATTGGAAGAATTGCGATCGAATTTGGCGACTCGATTAGTGACATTTGAAGTCAAATTTTCAGATACACTCCACGACAGACAAATATCGTGAGTTGGAAAATCCCGTGGAAAACATTTCCATAAATTTCAGTAATTCATTTGAATCCTTGTCAATTGGAATTATTTTTCGGCCCAGGAGAGAAGAAATATTCATGCAAAAACAATAATTCTTAATTTTTAAAAAATAATTTTAACCCAATTATGGGAATAAAATTTTTTTTTGTAATATAGTATATTTTGGTTATCATTGCATTGTTTAACAGGCTAAGCAACGGTTGGGTAATAAAAATTGGACGAGGTCTAGACTACTTCAAAGCTCCAGAGGGTAAATTCGTCCTGGGAGCGTGTGACATGGAGTTGCGACCGTGTCTCGAAACCACAGTTGATATTTTTCATACAAGCCACCTGGAAAGACCACTGTGAATTTCCCTCCAATGGTGTTTAGAATAATTTTTTTATTTTACAAGATTTAATTATGGCACTAAACAATTGTTACAATAATTAAGCCTATGTACACTGCTGATCGAATAGAATTCAAAAAATCTATTTTTCCACGAAATGACTCGATTTATTCATCCCAGACTCACATTTCCGAAAAGTACGTCCTTGTCCTCCATGACCCGAAAAAATACTCCGTAATTAACTCTCTCATTCATCACTTAATTAATCTCACAAAGAGTAATCGCAGGCCTTAGCCTGTCCGATGTGCTGCGCAGCCTTCCTGCAGGCGATCCTGAGACTCCTGGTGTACTTGAGAAGCCCACCCTGGTCCTCCTCATCCTCAGAATGATAATTAGGCAGGCAATCAGCCCCTCCCACGGCGACGACCTGCTTCGCAATTTCTGGATCAACGCAGAGTCTGGTGAGAGCAGCAGCTGCAGTAACCGCTAGTCTCTGATAAGCCTCCTCGATCCCCGGAGGCGCCATCCTGAGGAAACACACGAGAGCGACCGAAGCCCTGGCTCTGGCAAGATGCCCCCTGACATCAGGAATCTTGGCTAATTTACCCACGAGTGAGGCGACCTGCTCCATAAGCCAAATGCTTCCCCCAACGCTTTTCTTCACGCACCTCAAGAGCTTCCGGACTGTCTCGCACTTGACGAGAGCATAAACGCACTTCTGAGAGTCTCCAAGATTATTGAGAGCCGCAGCAGAGAGTAGGAGAGTCTGTGCGCACCTCGTCTCCTCGGCCAGATTCGTCAGAATGTCCACGAGAATATTGGCAAAAGGTTCAAGATGCCGTAGGCCGAGGGCGTCAGTCCAGGGTGCAGTTATCTGCACGACAAGAGCAGTTGCCTCCATCCTCTCCCTCTCAGGGGCGGTTTTGGAGGCGAGGAGATCGACGAGAATTTCTGGGCCCCCCTCCTTGACGAAATGCCCGATGGCCAGGGGACAACAGCACACGCTGGACAACGCCCGCAGTGTCGAGCATCGCAATTCACTGGAGAGTCTTCCAGCTGAGATGAGGGACGTCAGGAGTGCTCTGACTCCTGAGCACCTGGCGATGCTGTTGCCTGCTCGGGTACCCGCGAGTCCCAAGGCTGTCAGGGCAGCAAGGGCTCCTCTCGCAGCACTCCCGGTCTCCCTGGGTGCGTCCTCCAGACCCCTCACCACTCTCTCGATATAGAAATCCAGGCGAGTGTTCACTGTTGAGTTCACCACGTTCTCCAGGGACTCCAGTTGGGACAGAACCGAGCGGAGACTCCCCTCGTGGATCCTCCGGGGTGGAGGGGCTCCGAGTTCTGATAACAGGGAGAATGCCTCGTCCTCGATTGATCGCAAAAGTTTGCGCTCTGATCTTCCGCTCTCGAGGCTCGAAACTTTATCAATTACTTCGTTGATGTGTTTTGAGAAACCGTCGGCGCGGATTATCAATTCTGTGGCTGCTGCAGTGGCTGTCGATGTCATCAGGCGCAAATCCCGTGACTGGCTTTCCTCTCGTGTTTCTTGAGGTTTCTTGGGGAGCGCTTTGCTCTGCAGTGCAACGCTGCACTCTGGATCGTAATCCTCTGCGAGATCGTTCAGCCACGTTTTCACAGACTCCTGGTATCTATCGGTTGGAGTCCTGTCAGCGGATCCTGAGCGATCGTTCGAGAGACGAGTGTACCAGGGCCCTGTGAAGGACGGGGTCGAACCTCGAGAGGTACTCGAGGACGTCGGGATATCATCCTCTGGTGGCTCTTGCGCGTACAGAAAATCCCCCAGGCACTCCTCCACCTGGGGAGTCTGGCCTGAGGGAAGTGGGCAATCCTCCTTCTCCTCTTCGATTCTGCAACAGATTGATTAATAATTAAAAAAAAAAAAAAATTAAAACACCAGTGAACTGAGAAAAAATCGGAAAAACTTTTTTCAATTTCACTGGAAACAAATAATAATAATATAATTGAATTGTAATGGAAAAATTGAGAAATGGAATAATAATGGAACGTAGAAACGGTATATTTTTTCATATCAATCTGAAATAAGATCTTGAGAATTTTCCACTTTTATCGGGATAATAATCTTTCATTATGTACCTCGACCAAGCCATCGCGTGTTATCGCTCGTGATTTTCTCGGAAAATCTAGAGATTCAGTCCTATCACTTGCACTTGAAACTACTGCACTCCAGTCCATCACCGTCTCCAGGCCAACGTATCCCCCACTTTCTCAGGAAAATTCTCATATGCAGTCCCCCAGATTATCGCGTCGTACCACGAAAGCTGACTAATCCAGCAGTGATCTCGTCCAATGACTAATCCATTCACTCGTATTTTCATTTTTTCCCCTCGTGATTCTTCATCTCTGGAGAACGCGGATGAATTCCTCCAGTGACTCAATCCAATTTCCTGGGGTATACAACTGCAGAACTAATTTGAATTTGTCGAGAGCTAGTGTTGGTCGTTGGCTGTCGTCGATGGGACTAATGGAATTTCCTTTCTTTCAGAGACAATTGCCTCAAGATGGAGATCACGCGAGATTTTTATTTCGGATTACGTACGAATCGAGACGTAGAATCAGAGGTCGAACACGTATTCTTATGCGAGATGGATTGAATAATAATGACATGAAGACGAGACCAGACGGAAGAATTCGGCTCTATTATTCGTTCATCTACATTTCTATTTCAATTTCCGTTTCTACTCTCCCCAAGACCGACGGTTTTATTATTTATTTATTATTATGCAATGCTGAGTCAACGCTCGGCTATTAAAATGAAAAATTAATAGAATTAATAGAATTACTGAATTATTGAGTTGATTCACAAGCGTATTGACATTCTTGTGCGAAATACCCATCGTCTCTTTTGTAAATATGTTTTGCTTGTCGCATTCCTCTGGTTGTTGCTCACTGTACACTCATTTCCGATTGATATCCCCTAAGCTAGAACAACCATTTCGTCACATACCGATCGCAATCACCAGCAAAGCCCATTATCGGTGATTCTCAATCGAAATATTTAGGTTTCTACCGTTCTCCAGCAATTCTACTGACTCACCTGTTATGACTTGCTCTATATTTTGAGGTAAATTCTGTTATCTCGCCCCACGTGTGCCAAGACCCCTGATGACTCGTTTTTTTATCTCTATCTTGATTTATGTTGCGAGTTATGAGTGGATACCAAGACAATTCGAAAGAGGATATTGATAATTTGGGAATAATAATAATTTCATAATTGCTTCAAAGTCAAAATAATTGGATGTTCAGGGGAAAATCGAAAAATTTATTCCCCTGAGGTTTTTTCAATTATATTAATTAATTCCCGAAATTTGGAAGTAATTTACATTTTTATAATATCAAAAATGGAAAAATAAATTGAGCTCACCTGGGAGACACGAGTTCTCGTTCCTCGTCGCTGGTAAAAATCATACTCTGTCTGCACCTGGCTCCAGGTAATTCCCTCTTGGGAGTGGACGTGTGTAGGAGATCGTGTTCCCTGAAGAGGGCATTTACCCTGGGATTGGCCCTGGGTCTGTCAGATCGTCTGCGTCGCCTCCTGTGACGCCGGGGGGTTCCATCATCCCCTACTCCTGGACTCTTGGAGCGTTCGGAGTCGGAGAAACCGGAGTCGAGACTGCCGTGTCCCTGACACCGAGGGCTCGCCGACCTGCAGCACTCCGCATCCCCCAGGGACTCCGGCACGTCCTCCGGAACCTGCGACAGCCTCCGCTCGATGGAAGTCTGCAGCTGAACCTCTCCACCTTCTTCAATCACCTCGTTCACCCTGATGGCAGTGATATTCAGGCTGACACTCTGGGACAGCTCTATCTCCTCGTGACTTGTGTCACTGTCTTTCTCAGTGTCAGTGTCGCGACCAAAATTGCAGTAGGAAGTCTGCAGGACCCGAGAGGACGAGCCCAGGAGAGGAGTTCTGTCCAGATCCTGAGCCTCCATGTGCCCCCAAAACACTCGACTCTGCATTCGTTTAAACCCGCTCATTCCGATAATTTATGTAATTATAAATAACTGACTCACTCGACAGCTCAAAATTTCACTGATTGTTGAAATACTCAACCACAGATTTATCTTTAAAAAAAATCACTGGAGAAATCGTTTCAATTTTTCACTTCAACAAAAAACATTTCACTGTTCTCCGGTGGAAAGAGAAGTGCTGAAAATACGGAACTAGACTAATCCGTTGGATTATTTCTCAAAACTCCCGACTCAAGACGGAGAACCCCCAGAACTTCCGGTGAAGACACCCAGAGGGGTTAGCACCCCCTGGCCAACAGCAGCAACTCCTGTTGTCACGATCCACTGGAGCAGGACGGAGTCGCGTGGGCGCCTTATGGCGTGAAAATGAACCCCTGGACACTGGTGATGAGCAACTGGAGGCACGCGACCTTCTGCCGTCGGTATTTCCAGAACGTAAACCTGGATGACACCCGCACACCCACTTATTCCATCATAATCCAATCGGCGAATGCGCCTGTAACGGCATTAGTGAGTAATCGGAAGTAACTCCCACCACCCGATTTATCCACTCAATGGACACCGATTTATTTATTCATGTAAGATCCGCTGGATTTTTAGTCAATTGGTGACATTAATTCGTTTGCATTCACCTGGTGAGAACGAGTACGTGGGAATTTTATCAGACCATCAGCCGATTGTTGTGAATTCACGGGTTTATTAATTATTTATAAATAATCCAAGGACACGCGATTATCATCGAGTTATCACAATTCCAAAACGAGCGGTTCACTCTTTAATTATTGATAAAGCATTTTATTTTTTATTTGTCGTCGATTTATTTTTTTTTTCATTCCCCGAGTAAATTTATTTTTTTTTATTTTTATGATTATTGAAACACTTGGCGTTCACTGGTTTTTTGAATATTCGGGATGATTTTTGGGGATGACGAGCTTCTGCGTGGATTCCATCCGACTTCCTGGCGGTCTCTCCTCCCTCTGGGCGCAAAGTCGCGGGCATCCCCTCATCTCCTTTCACCCGCCACGCCTCCCCTTGGTACCCCATATTAATGCACCTATGGGGGTTGCCGCGTGTGTTGGCATTTACTGTATGGGGGAAGGGGGACATTTCCCCTCCCCACTTTTCTAACGTACAACTGGTTATTTTGAAAAAGTCATTACTGCTCCTCTCCCTTCGAAATTGAAACTCCGAATTTCGAATTAATCAAATCTGACAGCGATGAGATGAAAATAAAAAAACTCCCTCTTTGCGGGGGAATCTATGTAAAATAGATGTAAAATGGTGATTTTGAATATAAAAAATAAATAGGTCAATTTAGAGTATTCGATTATTATGTATATTCAGATATTCCTATTACGAAATGGCAAACTGGAAAAACTCTATTTTTTCGATGCTCGTTTTCAGCGAATATCTCAAAATTGACGAAAGATACCGAAATTTTCGTAAATATTTTTTTTGTAGCTATAATATTTTTCTAAAAAAAATGTTTATACAAAAAAATCGATATATTCCTTCAATCCCGAGATATCGGGTCAAAACTGGTATTGAAAAAAATGTACCCATCTCATGATTATTTCATTTGCATCGATGTAATTAATAGAGAATTGTTTTGATGAATTTTGAGGGGTTGGAGTGGGGCAGATCGAGGGAGGGGGATGGAGAGGGGGTGAAATCACGTCGGTGGGGTCTTTGAAGGGCCAGTCACCACCTGGTGACCCCCTCTCACTCTCTCTGAATTTCGAAATAAATGCGCTCTGCATTTACGTGCAGAACATGGGGTTCACACATTCCCCATCCCCTAATGGTACGGCACGCGCCGATAGCGCGCATCTGCTCAGTATCCGGGTTCGGAAAATCCGGTGATATTTATTTTCATGGCTTCCAGACGTTGGAAAATGTCAATGAATTTTACTGCACGTGTTCAGAGCAACTGAGAAAATGATCTCGGACCAGTTGCATCATAGGATTCCGTTGGAGTGATTATTTTCGAAAGTCACAGCAGCAAACTAGAATAAGTGAATTTTTTTCGAGACCAGTTTTTCCCCGATATCTCGGAATGGAAGGGATATACCGATTTTTTTGCGAAAACATTGATTATGCAGAAATATGAGAGCTACAAAAAAGGTAGAACTGTAAATATCGTTATCTCTCTTCAATTCCGGGATATCGGTTAAAAACAGACCGAGAAAAAAATCCACTTATCCTGGTTCACCATTTGACCAGAGAATTCGCGGTGATTTCACTCGCATAATTCGCACGTGGTACGAGATGATTCATTATCTCATGTTTACATACGATAATTAGGTAATTCTAGCACTAACCATTATTTTAACAATGAAATTAATTCGGTGGATTAAATAAGGGGATCGCCGAGTTTTCTATTGTGAAAAAAAGAGGATAAATTTTTTCGAATAATCGCCAGGAATGATTCATCGATTCCGTACAGTGAATTGTAAATTTCCATGGACAATTTAAAAAACGCAGACTAAGTTTCCTTTTAAACTCGTTGAAGTGAAAAGGTGTTTCTGGCATTTAAAAATCGTGTGCACGTATAGCGCAGTCACCCGCTGCTTTTGTCTATCATGTACGGGTTTTTATATTGTACATAACTCCACAAGACCCATACACGGTATGTATAACGGTTTGGCACATCTGTCCCCCTAGTTTTCGCTCGGGTAGGACAATAGGGGCCGAGGGCCCCTTTTATACGTGAACATTCACTGGGTTTACACGAGTGATCGGATGGACTTAGTCAACCGACACTTGGGAATATTGATTTATCATTAACGGTATTAAATCCACCGGCAAGGTGTTGAAAACAAAAGCTATTTCAAGGATAATAATTCTGTTATCTTTACCATTATATTTATGTTTATTAATTTATTAGATCAATTTTTTTCTCAATTGAAAATCTCGCGTTTCACCAAAAACACAAAATCGGAAAAATGGTGAAAAAATTCGATTGACCCCAGGATTGTTCCCCATTTATTTCTCTTAGGATCACTTTTGCATGAAAAAAAATCCTTAGACCCTTCCCCACCCGTAAAAAAATACAACTTAATTTTTTTTTAATTCCAAGCTAAATTCCAATCTTTTCGGTTGACCGATTTTCAAACCTGTGGATAATCCCTTCATACAACAGGATTAAATCAATACTAAATATCCCTCCCCCTGTTTAATTGACTTACCATTTTTTCATTTTAAAAACATTAATAATTGCAATTGATATGGATATTTTGGTAGCCATACCAATTTTCCTCCTGCATAATTCCATTTTTGTCTTCAAACACTCGATATGCGAATTTTCGTATTGAAGGCAATTTTATATAAATATTTTTTATATAAATATTTTTCAAATTCTAATCTTAATAATGATATATAATTATCTCCGTCCTTAAAATTTGGAATAACCATAAAAGGAACTGAATTGAGTGCCGAGAGGTTCTTTCCCCCTCTGGATATTTCCCCTGTCCTGGAGGGACACCCCATCGAACTCATGTCATTGGTTCCCTCCGATTGTAATTCAATCGTCATTGGCAGATTCAAAGGCTCCCGCCTTCCTTCACAAATCAAATCGTCGGATTTTCAGACCCAGAGGAAATAATCTGACAATCCAATTGAGGCGACATCTTGGAGCAAGTCTTGGTCTCGTGCATCGCAACATTTTTCGCATCATCCCGGTGTTCTCCAAAGTTTATCGAATAAACAAAGTAGAAATAAACGTTTCACAATGGTAATACTATAATTCAAATCCCCGAGTATTAATTTTTTTAACGAAAATCCTGGAGACTCCAGGGGGTGTGCCTTTGGTGTAACTTTCAATCAATCACCGGTGGAAAATGTGACAAATGGCGCACGTGTATCATGTGAATTTTCTCACATCTCGAAAATTCTTTTTCATTCATTTGATTTAATGATTAAAAAATGGGCAGACATTTTCATTTCATGAGATATTGGACGGTTGATAATAGACTAATATTTTTTCCTTCTGGAAATGATTGGATTTTCTGATGTTTTGAAGCCCTGAGTCATTGCTCTCATTTTTATTTGAATCTTGATCCATTCCCCAGGTATCCCTGAACCCTGTGAGAATTCTGAAGAACGAAGCTGAAGAGGAGAAGTCAGAAATCGCTCGTCTGAGTCTTTTTGTAGGAGCCATTGCTATTGGGGACCTGGTGAAATCCACACTGGGCCCCAAGGGTATGGACAAGATCCTCGTTGCTCACGGTCGTAACGCAGGACAGGTTCAAGTGACCAACGATGGTGCCACCATCCTCAAGAGTGTAGGTGTCGACAATCCAGCAGCTAAGATTCTAGTGGATATGTCCAAGGTCCAGGACGATGAGGTAGGGGATGGCACCACCTCGGTCACTGTCCTTGGTGAGTCTAACCTCCAAACTTCATCGGTCAATTCAAAGAAATTTTTATATTTGAATGGATAATAATAATGCAATATTTCCTGGTAATAAATTCTGCAGCTTCTGAATTACTGAAGGAAGCAGAGCACCTGGTGGAGCAGAAAATCCATCCGCAGACGATAATCGGGGGCTGGCGCCGTGCAGCGAATGTAGCACGTGAGGCTCTGCAGAATGCAGCATCAGATCACTCAGCAGATCCTAAACGTTTCCGCGAGGACCTCTTGAACATTGCTAGGACGACTCTGAGCTCAAAAATCCTCTCTCAGTACAAGGAGCATTTCAGTGAGCTCGCAGTGGACGCAGTACTGCGTCTGAAGGGTTCTGGCAATCTCTCAGCCATCCAGATAATTAAAATCCGAGGTGCCACACTTGGCAACTCATTCCTGGACTTGGGCTTCCTGCTGGACAAGAAACCCGGCGTTCACCAACCCCAGAAGATCACCGACGCGAAAATTCTTATCGCCAACACTCCCATGGACACAGACAAAATCAAAGTGTTCGGGTCTAGGGTCCGGGTGGACTCGATGGCAAAAATTGCCGAGCTCGAGATCGCTGAGAAAGAGAAGATGAAGGACAAGGTGGAAAAAATTGTCAAGCATGGCTGTAACGTCTTCATCAACAGGCAGCTGATCTACAATTACCCTGAACAGCTGTTCGCTGATGCTGGAATCATGGCCATTGAGCACGCTGACTTCGACGGTATCGAGAGACTTGCCCTTGTCACTGGAGGGGAAATTGTCAGCACTTTTGATCAACCTGAGCTCGTTAAACTTGGAAAGTGTGACTCCATTGAACAAATAATGATCGGTGAAGACACTCTACTGCGTTTTTCGGGAGTACCTCTAGGAGAGGCTTGCACAGTGGTGATACGTGGAGCAACTCAGCAGATTCTGGACGAGGCGGAGAGATCTCTGCACGACGCCCTGTGCGTTCTTGCAGCCACTGTCCGAGAATCCAGGATAGTTTATGGGGGTGGTTGCAGTGAGATGATAATGGCGTGCGCTGTTATGAAGGCAGCAGCGGCGACCCCAGGGAAAGAGGCTGTGGCCATGGAGGCCTTCTCCAGGGCTCTGCAACAATTGCCCACTATAATCGCGGACAATGCTGGATATGACTCTGCACAGCTCATCAGTGAACTCAGGGCTGCGCACAACTCAGGAGTCTGCACCGTTGGCCTCGATATGGAAAATGGAAAAGTGGCGTGCATGACGAAGTTAGGGATTACAGAGTCCTGGGCAGTCAAGAGGCAGGTGCTCCTCAGCGCTGCTGAAGCTGCCGAGATGATCCTTCGGGTTGACAATATTCTGCGATCAGCTCCACGAAAACGTGTCCAGGATCGTGGACATTGTTAATTATTCATCGATTTGGAAATAAAACGTATATTCATCGCAGTGGCGAAGAAATCAAGAGTAACAAGTTCATTTAATTGAGAGATTAGAATAAGACCTACGAAAAGCTTGTTACTCTTTACGTCTTCGCTGCGGATTTTTTTTCTCACTCATTGTTAAGTTAATAAATTGCTTCGAGGGTCGAGTATTTTTCCATTAATTCACTAATACTAAATGAGTATAAGTACGAATTGAACAGAACAAGAATGAGAAAATTATTGGTGAGCACCTTTTCATTTTTTTAATAACAAGTACCATTTTTACATGAATAAATGCCTCAGACAGTACGTTCTGACTATTTATTTACAGGAAAATTCTGAATATTGTTTTTCAACTGCAGATTAAAGACGATCCGATAACATCTTCAGTTTCGAATAGAGCATTAAAAATAATGTAATAAAAAAACTTGAAGGGTTAATTCAAAATTGGAAAAAATGTGAATGTGGGAATAGAATGGTTCGGCCTCGAATATCGATGACAATTAATAGGCGAATCTCATCTTCGTGTCGTATCCCAATTTATCGAGATTCGGTGTGCAGGCGAAATTTATCATCGGAGGTGGACCACACATGAGAACAATAGTGTCAGGCGCAGGTGGAAACATGTGCTCTTTTATCATGTCTGTATTCACCCATCCAGTGGAGTACTTCCAGCTCTCGCTGCTCGTGTCCAGAGTGAACCAGAGTTTGAACTGATCTGCATGGTTCTTGGCGAGGTTTTCCAGCTCCTCTCGAAGCAGAATATCTTTTTCTGTCTGGTTAGCGAAGAGGAGAGATACTTGGGTGTGATCTTCTGGATCTTTTGTTATTTGGCGGATCAGTTGGAGCATCGGGGTTATTCCAGTTCCTCCAGCGATCATCACAGCCTGCAATCAGACGGTTTGAAGAAATTATGCATTGCTGTGTACTTATATTTTATATACATACGTCCCAAAAAGTACAATTAATTGGTGATTGATAAAAAAAAATGGGCGAAAACCTTTTTGACGTGGTGTTCAACTGGTGGCTCCTTCCTCAGCATCCTAATAGCAAAGTTTCCCCTGCCCTTGTAAACCAGCCGTCCTGAGGGCCCTTTAACCGCGATTGTGTCTCCAATCTTCATGGCCTCGAGATGTTGTGAGAGTTTCCCACCCTCTGGGAATTTAGGGTGGACATTTTTGAAGTAAACCTATACATGATAACTCCAAATAATTGAACTGTAGTCAAAATAAATGTTCAAATTCTTTTTCAATTCTTTACCTTGACGACGAGGTCCACAAACCCGTGATCATCGTCGCTGCTGACGGGCGTGTAAGCCCTGATGACGAGTTCCCCATTAATATCAGCAGTGAGATGAATGTGCTGACCCGTTGGCAAGCCCAGAACATGCTCAGGCGTTGGCAAGCCCAGCCTGAATCTCCTCGTGTCATGACTAATTACTTCTTTTTCAATTAAAGGGAGATTGTATTTAGCTAGTGGATTCTCTAGTAGAATCGGAGACTTCCTTTTGCCCTTTCTCCATGTCAGAAAATATTGAACGACTACTCCCACCACCACCACTGTTCCAACAGCAGCCAGAACGGTGAGAATCTTCAGAATAATTAAGGAAACTATTATTAAACGATTATGTAATGATATATAAAAATATGTTCAAAATACCCTCAAATCTACATGAATAAAATTAATAGTAACAAATTCTCGTAGCAAATTGAACATAATGATGTAATTAGTTCAAAAAAATGTAATGAAGAGAAATTTCATAACATTAACAGCACTATCTCACTCATTAACTCCTCAATCACCATCCCCTCAATTAAAACAGCATGACATGTCAAATTAATTTTAAAAAACAGGAAAAAAACTTGTTCTCGACGGAAAAAAGGGAGGTTATCCAACGAGAAATCTGGCGATAACACGAAAAAGCAGAAATTCACAAAGAAAAAAGTCAAATCCAAGTGGTGTTTAAAACTCGAGCAAAACTCATAATAAATAACTGGTAAAAATTGATAATAAAAATTACCCTTTCCCTAGAGTCTAACATATTTTCACTCCAGAATAATCTCAGCTGGCACGTGAGAATCTGGACTCAGTCGACGGCTTGAGACGAGGTCAAGGTCGCGGAAAAGAGGAATGGAAAAACGATGAATTGTCAAGCGATATCGCTACGTAGTGGCGATGATGGAAATTGGATGGCGATCGAAAATGATCAGAGAGTTCTGTGAGCACATGAGTACATGAGCACGTTGAGCCGGTGTCTGGGCGACGAGACCCAAAACACCGTAATGAAAATAGAAGTGAACTCGTCTGATGTATTTTTGGAGTTGAACCAGAGGTGAATATGAGAAAATACATAATTTATGGTTAAATACCCCAGAGTTGTCAGTCAAATTCCTGGCAACAGGTGCCTGATTGTTGGCCATTTTCAGTAAAAAAATTGATCAGCTGATTTGTTAAATTATTGGAAGCACTGGAGCTACTCCCTGGAACGCAAACTGTATGGAACTGTTTCCCAGACGTTTATCACTGCCTTTGACTTTTGAACATCATTGTCATATGACTTTGAATGTGTAAGAGTGTGGGAGGGTATGAAGAAGTTGGCAGCCCCCCTGAGACTTGACGATAATCTGATCCTCGTAATTAATACGTAATTAGGAGGGGAGAGAGTCGAGCTCAACGTCTGTGACTCGTTATTGTCGTTTTTTTTATTTTTTTCTGCTTTTTGGTCGTTCAGTATTTATTGTATGGGGATTTTTTCTCATCCTCTCTGACGTTGCGGTGGAAAACAACAAGTGGATTCGTAATGAATTGCGTGATATACCACAAGGGCACCGGCATTCTAGATTTTTTTTCTCTTACATATTGAATCGGGGAGAATTCAATATTTTATATTATTTAATAAAGGGTGACAGCAGGTCCTTTTGATATTTTATTTAAAAATTTATTAATGGATTACTGCAATGAAGAGACCAGAGAAGATGAATCGTTATTGTTTCTTGTTGAGACCCATGCAAAATGCATGTTGCGTCAACCAATTAGCTATTTGGACTGGCAAATTGATTGTTCGATTGAATAATCAGTGTGATTTGCATGCATGATTAATTAATCAGTTTGAAGTAATCGGAATCGTCGATAAAGTTGACAGGAATATTATCGAGGTGATGCAAGATTTTTGAATTCAAAAGGATATCCTCCAGGAGAATTCTGAATTGGAGTATTATTTTTAATTATCACCATTATCAATTTACTGTCTATTAATTTTATTATTAATTATTCAGGATTACGAATGATCGAAGGAAGGAATAAATTTACGAGTGCCATTTATTGAATAAATAGAATTGATTTAGTGCTGAAGATGTTGATCTCTTGATTGAATTGTTTGAAATAGAGTATTGAGGAACTCTTTTTACATATGAATGACTTCTCCAGCGCAGTGACTTCCTTCAAATACTGATGAGGCGATAAGATAGAGAATGTGGCATAAGAATTCACATATGAATCACAACGTCCAGATACCACTGGGGTATTATCAATACGTTCCGGGTTGTACTATCATTTCCAATGGTGTCGCATTTAGGGCGTGCTTATCCAACTTATCTTATATTTGTTTGAGATAAAAATATGAGTAGACACCCAGGTACTCGTACAGCAGGTACAACCTGTCCCGGCTCGAGCAATTGTCTCGGGGAAATCATCTTGGATACAATAGATACAGTGAATATTTGATTTGTGATCAGTGATCAAGCGATTGGAATGGCACTCAAGGGGTCTGAAGCTGCGAGGCTTGAGAGATCCATCGGATGTGTTAAATACACGATATTCTCTCTCAACGCCATTTTATGGGTGAGTCTAGGTGATTCATTGATTCTTCAGTTGATCAATAGATGATTCTCAATTGGCATTTCCACAAATTCATCCCGAGAAGAGAATCAAGAGAATTTTTTTTCTCCTACTTCAGGAATTAATTCACAAATTTTCGATAGAATATCGTGGAGATATGAAAATTATTTTGTTTGATATCTAGATTTTTGGGGCTGCTATGTTTGGGGTGTCTGTCTGGATGAGGGCAGATCCTGGATTCCAGGAGTGGGTGGAATTCCTGGAGATTGACGAGTTCTACATTGGGCTTTACATTTTAATTGTTGCGTCAATTATCGTAATGGTGGTAGCCTTCTTCGGATGTGCTGCTGCCCTGATGGAGAACATTAATGCTCTTTACATTGTGAGTCAGATATTTTTTTAGATGAGATCTCTGGTTTGTGTGACTCTTGGAATGACAGATTTATTTTGTTTCCCCTGTAGCACATCGGTCTCCAGATGCTTGGATTTTGCCTCGGTCTAGCAGGAACTGCAGTTCTTTTGGATTTCTCGACCTACGACAGCGACATTCAACCACTGATTCGTAGATCAATGACAACGTTAATCATTAATTCGCAGTATGAGAAACCAGGAATGATCCTCAGAATGATCCAAGAGGGGGTGCGTATTAATTGATTAAATAATTTATTAAAGAGATTAATTCTGAGTCAATCAGTCACAAATTAATCAATCATGGAATTTTCCTGATTTCTTTGGGGATTTTGTTCGCTCGTTGCAGATTGGCTGTTGCGGTTCTGATGGCCCCATGGACTATCTCAATCTCTATAAACCATTGCCCTCTGAGTGCAGGGATTCTGTTACCGGAAATGCATTTTTCCATGGTTGCGTTGACGAACTCTCGTGGTTCCTCGAGGGTAGATCTGGCTGGTTAGCTGGAATTTCACTCGCTCTCTGTCTACTCCATGTGAGTGCTCAATTAATTCAGGAGAAAAATTATTTACAGAAATTCCACTGGTAACAATCATTTTTCGTGATTCTCACAAAATTTTTGTAAAAATTCACAGGAATTCTCGATGGAGAATTCTCCAGCGTGCATCGTTCTCTGAAATATCGAAGATTACGTGATTTGAATTTCACGTAATTACGATAAAATATTTTCGACGCATGGAATCTCATTGTAAATAAATTACGATAAAAAAAGAGATCAGTCCATTTTTTTGGAAGAATAATTGAAAATACTTTAGAAAATATTTTTTTTGATTCCAGGTAATTCAAGCCGTTCTCTCGTTAATCCTCATACAGGCGAGACAGAAAGAAGACGAGGCAGCTATTTTTAAGCGTTAAAAATATTCTACATCATTTTAATCCCGACATTCAATCATTATTTAAGTGTCAAATTATTCAGAATACATATTTGTTTTCTATGAAATGCATCAGAGTTAATTATTACCTTCATTACACCTCAATAAAAAAAAAATCAGATAAAGTACTCATTGGGAATAATTCCAGTATTTCGCATGAGTAATTACGATTTTTTTCAAATTTCGCGCACTCTCGATCATTTGGATCGGTTCTCATGACAATTCAAAATGAAAAAAAAAAAATTGATAACCTCAAATGTTAGCAATGACGTCAGAATGAAAATGGCGAAGACAAAAACAATAAGTAAAGGGTGTCCAAAGTGTGAGCAACAGGTAAATAAAGTAAAAAATTGTTATTATTACATGTAAATCAATATAATTCGGATGAATTAATTAAATTAAGGTACCAGTGGCGTGCAAGGCGTGTCCCTGTGGTCACTCTTTCTTCAATGCCCGTCGTAATTCAATGAAGAGTCCGCCAAGTCCTGACAGTGGAGTCATGAAAACACGTAGAACAAATAGAATTAAACGACGAATTAATTACTACGATGCTTTAGAGTTTGATAAACAAACACGAAAAAGTGCGAAGGTATATTTTATATTTTTTTTCCAGGAAATATTCCGTTTGATTCATGATATCCCAAGTTCTTATGAATGTCAAATGATTTATTCTCGTAATAATAGATTCGAAGAGCAGCAGAGGCTGGTTCAGACAACGATTGCAGGCAGTTGAATAAAAAAAGAAAGCGTAAGGGAAAGCCAAAGGGAAGACCATCAGGGAGTGGCGGTTTAGGTGACGACGAGGATGAGACTGAAGGTGTGAGTAATTTATCACCCGAGAAACAGCTCACGTGTTCCCTGATCCTTCAGGAATTAAATAAGAAAATGGGCACCGTTGCCTGGAAACCAATGTGATTAATCAGGGGAAATGACTCGATAATACTGTGAAGTGACCCTGAAACTCATCAATTTTATAGTAACCACTGGGAGGTGCTCGTAGTGATGGAGTTAATCGTGTGCCATGTCGATAGCAAAATGAAAAAAAAATCGTGATTAAGTGCAATGTTTATTCGAATTGAATGACATTCGATAAAAAAAAAATATTGATCTCAATATTACTGTGATTATCCAATCGTCAGCGGACATTTGCTCCACGATTTTCTTACTGACTATTCACCGATAATTCAATTGATAATTTTATAATTATTCAGCTTGTCTGCGATAATATTCCAATTAATTTCATTCGTCAATTAATCTTTTCCTTCCACTTGAGGATTATTTGAGAATTGGAGCAGTGATGGATAATGAAAATAGTCATAACCGATGTGAATTGTCTTATATACGTTTATTCTCGGAATAAACCCTCGAATTATCACCACTCGAACAAATTGCTGGAGGATGATGGATTAGTATTAAATAATATTTATCTCGTTTAATTTCAATGACAGATGTTAAAAAATAATTCTACAAAATACTGCAGTTTATATTCTGCACCACAGCGAGATGGGCATCATCAAACAAAAAATACTTGATCATTTATTAATAAATCCATTCGATCAATAGCCTATATAGTCATTGAACTGATTAAATAAAAATATTGATAATCGAACCAAAGGACCTTAAAGTGTTATGTATCGCCTTCGACTTGGTCCATTCATTTGAAACAGAATATCCCTAATTAATTACACATTAACATACTTTCATTCATGTATGGACATATTGTAACACGTCGAAGGGATTAAAATTGTTTATGAAACCTCATATTTTCATGATATCTCAATCGTAAGGAAATATAGATTTACAAAAGTCAGATTTTAATTATACAGTAGTACTTTGTGCTATAATATAAGTACTTTCCTAACATTTGTTTCATTTAAATCCAGTATCGAGTACTGCCTTCGCATGTGCTCCTCTAGATAGCATTTTTATTAATTATTAATAAGGCAAGACATTATTTTTTCACTTCACCCCTTCTCTGTTATCCCTCAAAGACTTTGAAGTGTTATCTAATACATCTCAATGATCTCAATGATCTCCACATTTATCCACAGATTATACACAATTAGTTCTAGCGAAAAATAAGAAAGAAAAAATTCGTCTATATAAAAATGCAATGGCTGAGAAAGGAAGATATACTGGATTTCGTACTCAGGCTGGCTGACGGCAGTGAGGACATACGTCGTGAGCAATTTATCAATTTCCTCCATAAATCGAACATATTTGCTCATTATTACGTAAAAGACGTTCTCGTATCTGGATAAATTACCAATGAAAATTACTTCCTAAAGTGATTTATTATCGAAACAATCGAATATTTCACCCAAAGAATATATTTCATGGTTTCGATAACTCCTCCAAAACACTCACCCACCAGTTCCCAGAAAGTAACCCCCCCTCTCAAAAAAAAGCAATTCAATAACGAAGAAGTCGAGGGTCAATGGATTAATGGATCAATGGACTTCTTTGTAATTCTCAGTTCATTCGATTTATAATCCTTTAACCCTTTCTCATTGACTGAATCACCCAAGAAACCACAAAACTGCTCTCTCAACGTGTCCCCCCTCAAACCTTAGAAACCCCCGCCTTATCCCCCTGGTCAATGGCCTGTTTTCGTCTGAGATAAGGCATAAAAGCCCAGAGAGAGGCTCCAGCCACGAGAATAATACCGAGGGAGCTAAAAATGGGTGCATAATCGTTTATCTGCTCGAAGATTATGCCACAGATGGGCGGACCCACGAGCTGCAGCAGTCCATTAACAAATAGTGAGATCCCATAGGAAGACGTCAGCTTCTCAGTCCCCAGCATGTCAGCCATGATGACAGCAGTGACACCCACATAAATGCCAGACGAGAGCCCAAAGACAGAGCACCAGAGTGACACATACCCATAGCTCTTTCCAATCGGTAAAATTGCCAGGGAGACACCAGAGACAAGGAGTCCTCCCACGAAATACCAATGTTTGGGAATTAATTTGGTGTCTGAGAGGGCAGATCCACCGATTCTTCCCACGAGATCGAAAATCGAGACGAGAGACAGGAGATATCCAGCAGCAGATTTATCAAAGCCAATGCTGATTGCGTAGACAGGCAAGAGAATAACGAAATTCGTGTAGCTGACAGCATTTGTACTGTTGGATATCAAGATGACGAGGTAAATGGGGTCCCTGAGGAGACTGACGTCGAAGAACTTGGGGGTTTCCACCTTGGGCTGCTGGACAGTCTTGGCTGGTGATTTTCTGAATGTATTCGATAATGCGTTGAGGGTGAGAGTGGAGGCGTACTCTGGATTGAGAGCTGACAGGGTGCTACCGTGGTAAGGTGTGCTGATGTAATTGAAGGACGATGTGCTGGGAGATCTAGCTGCTGGTCGTCTTCTGGCAACACCTCTCTCTGGTACTGCATGGAGGGCTGGAGTACTGTGCATCTGGGATGATATCTCACGACCAGTTGGCATGCTTATCTTCCTCGTTCGACCCTGGGCTGGGGTGTTCCTGTAGTTCTCCAGGGCCACGCTCGATGCACTCTTTGGAACTATTGGATTGGATTTCTCAGAGTTGGCGATTATGAGGGCGTTGTTGGGCTTCTTTTCGGGCTCTGGAGATGTGACACTGATGGGAACGCTTGGAATCTCCTCGTCATCGGGATCCGAGCTCGCTGGTATCCACTTCATGTGCTTCTCCACTGGATCATACAGAAGAGCACTCGCCCAGACGTTCAGGGTTATTCCCCCCATTATTAGGACTGCTCCCCTGGAAAAAAAAAATAATATTTTGTTGTTACTTTTTTTTTCATGTGAATAAATATCCATCGACATTACCTGTATCCAAATTCATTCAACAGATAAGCCAACAGGGGCGGTAGAAAAATGGATCCCAAGGCACTGCCAGACATACAGAGCCCATTGGCAAGGCCCCTCAGCCTGAGAAAGTATGAAGTGACGATGTAGACAGTGGGTGGAAAGGATAAACCAGCTCCAATTCCCACAAAAGTCCCATAACTATAAAAAAAAAATGAGTGAAATTTACGAAAAATCGCCAATTACCTGCAATCAATGATTATCATTACCTAACACACAGAAACAAAACAGAATTGGCAAAGTAACTGAGCATCATTCCAACAGCAGCAAAAGTTCCACCGATGAGGGTCACTGTTCTGTACGAGTACTTGACAGAGAGAACACTTGACAGTGGACCTGAAAGGAAATGAACCCTCTAATAAATCTCCAACGACGTTTAATTCCAATCACAGTGATTATTTAGGCTGTTTATACCGAGGGAGCTGTAGAGGAAGTAGCAGAGGGCTGGTATCCATGCTGCTGCTGCTGGTGATGCATCAAACACCTCCAGGAACTCGACGAAGAGAACACCAAAGGACTTTATCGTTCCTGGGATGAGGACATTCACCATCACAGCTGCTATCAGGACCAGCCAACCCCAGCCCCCATCTGGTGGCACTAGCTCACCCGCCCCTTTATCATCTTTTACTGAAAAAAAAAAATGTCGCCTTGTCTTTATCTTCACCTTTCATTTTTAAAAATATAAATCATGCAATCATTCTCCAATTCGATCCTAATCGGAATAATAACAAAATTAATATTTCCAGGTATAAATAAATTTATTTGGATGTCGATTTTTTGAGTTATCGATTCGAATGCAGAAATTTGTTATCGGAATTTCTCGCAGAGGCCAGATAAACAATCTGTACTACTTTCTCTGTACGAAAGTAAAAAAAAAAAACTGAATTTGCAGAATGTCTGATTTATCGCGAAAAAGGTGTGATAACCCACATCGATTGCAGAAGGTAATTGAAACTAATCGGATACTTGAGCAATTGTTCCCCTCATGGAAACGAGTTACGTTTGCATCGTAATCACGATTGCCCCAGATTCTCCTTATAATTCATAATTAAACAACGAATTATAAATCGATGGTGAATTATTTGGAATAGATTTTTCTCTGGAATCAGCGAAACCTGTGGCTGTCTCTTGGAACGGCTATCATGGTGATAAGGAGAGATAACCGTTTACGGTCGCCAGATAAAACACATGGAATAGAGAAACCGCCAATATTTTATTTGTCAATATTTTTTTCAATTCCCAACACATCTATTTTACTCCAGTGACGCAGCTTCCGAGGAATTCTCAATAAACCTCAATTATCACAATGAAATAACGCTTGAAGGTGATTATATCAGTTGCAATGTAAAACAAACACTCAGTAATTATTGCCACTAAAAAATTAATTGATATTCTTATTGCTTCTCAAGAACATACGAAATTTTTTTCAAATGAATCACCAAGAAAAGTATGGAGTCCGGTTTACGTGTGAAATTGATTTTCAGTGATAGGAATTCAATTAATTGATTGGAATTCAATTAATTTTTTTTGGATCTATTTTATTTTTTATATTCCACTCGTCAATTTCGCTGCATTAATTACAGCAATTACAGCATTCGATCATGATGGAAAGGAATGTTCATTAATAATAAGATCATTAATTTATGTAATTTCCAATAGAACTGATAAGACTTTCATCAAATCATTTTAAAGCGCGTGTTATCGTCTTAAGGTTCAATGCCAAATGATAATGTTCTCCATCCTCGATTGAACACGTCAATCTTGACGCCGTCTATCTCTCCGCCTCCTGTCTCTCCTAGCAGATGTTCCGCTATCATCTTGTAAATTCCAGCCCTCTGGAGAATTCCTATCATCTCGATTCTTCCGGTTATTTTCACTCCCTGTCTGTTCACTCAATTCTTCAGGAGGTGCCGACGGGCTCGGGACTAAATCCTCGGAGCTATCGGTTTTTTTCAGGAGAATCATCAGCACCACAGCGCATCCGAATATTCCCATCCCCTTGGAAGCTGTACTCCAGAGGAAGCCAGTGAAGCAGAGGCAAAACTCTCTGTACATCATCCAGAGAATAAATGCTACCAAGAGTCCCAATCCAACGTCATCCAGCAGTTGTTTATTTTTTTGGTAAGTTTGGAGGATCAACTTCTCGTAGATGTCTTTGGTGTTTGTCCTGCAGAACATGGCGGCTTTTTGAGATATCCTTCGACATCTTGTCAGTCTGGAGAGTGAAAGGCTCTCCGAGTTTTTTGAATTCCCTGGGGATGACTCGTGATTGACGGGTTCACAAGACCTGCACCTCCGCGACATTTTTTCAGGTCAAGTCAATAAAAAAAAATTTAATTAATTAATTCAATTGTAAATTATTCATCCTCGACTGTTTACTGAATCTCGAGGGGAAGTCGATACTTTTATGAAGATTTTGCAATTGCGGTGAGAGTTATCGTGGCTCGTTCTTTCTTCATTGGTTGAGGGTGAGGGTCGCCGAAAATCTGGGGGTTGAAGGTATTCTTTGAGGTCGAGGACTTGATTTTTTTTAGAAATAATCGTTGGGCTTTTACTTCTTCTCGGTGATGGTTTGAGAGAACTCCGACATTTACCTCTTCCATTTGGATTATTGGGGCTGTCACATCCTCGAGGTAGTGAATGTCCTGGACGGGACTTGGAATTTTCTGAGGATTTCGGGGTATCAGAGTGAACACCGAATCCTTCCGCCTCTAGGAACTCACAGGATTCCCTGTATTCTGAGTTCAGGGTTGAACTTAGTGGGTATTTCAGGGGAGGAACTGGGTTATGAGGGTTGTGAGTTGATACGTATTTTCGAACATCCGGGTTAGAGTTTTGATTCTCGTGGAAGAGGTAGACAACGCCGAGAAATGCAATCAGAAGAAGTAGAAAGAGTGATAAGAGAAATTTCATTACCTCGGATTTATGAGGGTTTTAGACACTAGAATTTTGAGTTTCACGATCGAAAGGGCAATTAAGGTGATGGAAAATTACGGATCAATAAGTGAAGGTATTGACGTGTGGAGAACTTCACATCAATTGCTCAAAAAAAATTCTATGAGAATTGAGTCCAGGGAATATTGCGGTCAATTCGAAAAGAATCCAAAAAATGGAGAACGATTTTAAAGATTGCAAAAGATAATTATATTTTCAATTTCTTTAACACAAGTAACCTTTCGGGTTTAATATCATAAATATCGTATCGATATTGGCACCTGGACAGTTATGACCGCGGGTGAATGTCTGATCTAGACTGCATGGAGACGATTGGTCATCCTGACGTCACAATTACCAGTCTATTGCCAGTCTTTATTCTGATCTCTTTGCTCTGTCTGAAAACACGTCATTCATGTCCACATCATTGGCACTTATAGGTCTACGCCTGTTACTTGGCAACATCAGTCATTCAATGGCCAGTAAACAGGATTAACAAACACTTATTGAGTTTATCTCATGGCAAACAATGAATGAAACTCCCTACGAAGCAAACTCATGCAGATTAATCTCTCATTTTTGATGACTTAGTCCATTTTCCAGAATCTCTGATGACTTAATCATGAAAAAAATCGTAAAAAACCGGAGAGCTGTCTTTGTTCGCCAAGAACACGTCAGTTATTTTTCCACAGCTCCGAATATGAAAGGAATTCTGTTGCGTCTAATAATACATTGTTTAAATCTCGTTCAGTCATTTGATTTTCTCCGTCTGTATCCCACGAGAGAGAATGGAAAGTCTGGATAAGGGGATACGTTCCGATATTTTATGAAGGAAATTTCCACTGTTGAGTCATTCCTGGAGTCACTCCACAGGAATTTCGGATGGAGTGAGAGAAAACGAGGGTTTTTACTCATAAAACATTCTCAAGTCATAAACATTAATACCAGAGAACATTTAATTGTCTTGATCAGATAAAGATGAAAGGTTTCGGAAAAGTAAAAAAAACGTGAATTTTGCCGAAGAGGATGCAGAACATCCTTGATGAAAAGAAATCTTTCTTCCCCTGGAAATATTTGATAGAGGAACTCAAGTTAATATAACATTCACGTCATTGGTCGTAATTAGAGTGAGGACACCGGGAGTGAATAATTGAAACCAGCATGACTCCCAATTTCGTTTAAGTGAGTCTACAGCAATTATATCATTTGGCCTTGTTTTCCTAGCATCAATTGAAGAAACCTCTGTGAAGATATTAGCGGCTATCATAATTCATTTCGTTTACAGCTGAATAAATGGGTATCGAGCAGTTTAGGAATAAAATGTTGCATTAAGTCCTTGCACATTCGTCTGAACAATATGATTAAAAATATAACAATATAAACAATACGGATTTGAAATATAAAATTCGGAAAAATCGTAAAAATCGTAAATAATCTCGGATCCTCGTGTGTACCAATTTCTTTTTTAATGAGACCGATAAATGGGTGCAGTGATTTTTTTTTTAAAGAACTTGATGATTAAAGTGCCAGAAAAATCTCTGTTTTGTCAAGAGGAAAAAGCAGAAGAAGCTGTTGAGTGAGGAGTCGAGTCAATGGAGTGCACCAGGTGTGAAGGATATATCATCCCCAGTGCACCTCCGTGAGGTGATATGAACCACCGGGATATCCTGATGTCAATATCAGGAGAAAATTCCCTAGGGATGTGAATAATTTATAATCCACACGTAGAATTCAGTGGCGATAAATTGCGTAAGCCATACAGTTAATCATGAATCAGATCGCTTTGTGATGCCAAGAGTTATTAGTGGAGACATTGTGTCTGGTTGACTTATAGTTCAGCCTCAGGTTCATGGATATGTTGGATTTCAATGAATAAATACTCAACACAGATTTTATTTTAAAACAAAATCATATTTATCCGGAATATTTTTAATAAAATGCCATAAACGGTTCTGAAGACATAAAAAAATTATCTTATTGATCCTCTCGTGTGCGGGAATTACTCTGGCTCACCGATTGGTATCTAAACAGCTTAGACATACGTGTACATACGAGATTAATCACGCCGCTAAATCCAGAGTGGGAGGAATTTAAAATAACGGTTTAGTCTTGCCAAATGATTTTCCCCTTTGTGAACGATGACACGTGGATCAACTTCCATCCGCGACACAGTAATTGATCCTGTTGACACGAGATATTTAAAAGAAAATAAAATTTGGATGTCAATGGAGATTTTTCGAGCCTGCGATGCTTGGACATGGGCATGGATGTTTTTTTTGAAGGAGTAAAAATTATTATTCCTGCACCTAGTCATCGATAATACAATATTCGCATTATTGCATCATTCAACAACAATGGAGAAATATAATTGGAAAAACAACCGATTTATTGTTCCTCGAAGCTTTGCCGTAAATTTCGATAGAGTGATACGTCCTTGCTGCTACCAACAGTTTGTAAAACCGGTTGCTCACACTCCGGGCCATTTAACGCCTCGACCAATGTCTTGTGTTAACATGGTACCCACTTTGTTAGAAAATCGAGACAATGTGTAACGGCTTTTGCCGATGAGATCGGTACACCAGCATTTGCTCATTTTGCTATTCACGTGGAGAATAAGTCGTTAAAATTACCTATTCAATAAAAAATTATCCGGAGAAACACGTTAAATTAACGAAATGTTACGTAACAATTCTTGGGCATTATTCGTTAAATTCTGATTCGATTTTAATGCCCAGAAAAATTACGTAACTTTATCATATTCTTCTGGGGACAGACCCAAAAATTTACCAAACGTTTCAGAGTCTTCTCTCGTCTATTTTTTTTTAACGCAAGTCAATCCCATCGATAATTGGCTAGAAAAATAGATAAAAAACATGGATGTTGGATTTTTAAAAGGGTCTTGGGACGATTTCTTCCTGGAAAATGTACAATGGATCGTCTGTAGAAACGAGCGGATGTTGGGGACGTCATGGGGCAGCTCCCAGTGATATTTCGAGTGAGATATTCGAGGGCAGTATCTGGTGAATGACGCAATGGCCAATGGAAGGCTGCCAAGCTTCGATTCCAGATATTTTCAAGCGAATTTTCACCACTCGAACATGCGAATCCAACGTTTTCTGGATAAATTCATGAGCCGCGGGTATTCCAAGGTGATAACGATAAGAGAACATTGCACTTGTCATTTCGGCGAGATATTCCACAATTTTCGTCAGACTTTTGGCGGAAATATCTGCCGACCGGATTCAAAGTAAATGTTTTCATTATTTTTGGAGGTCGCTGTTCCTGGATCATGCACACAAGACCTAGTGGACATTTTCCGAAGACCAAGGGGGTCAAGATCACCTCGAGGGTGTCCTCGTTCGTGCTGTGGGACTCAGGCATGAATACAATACTAATGAAGTGGAATTTACATGTGTCTTCTACCGGTAGATTATTTTTTCATTAACTGAACCTTGGTAAAAAAATGATGATCCATTTTTAACTCTGAGGAATATAAAATATTAATTAATTACTCTTCTTTATTTTTTTACTATTCACATTATTTCCAGAATTTCCCATTAAATCTCACGGATTTTTCCTCTGTACCTGTGCTCTAAATCAATTATGTTCTCAGTATTAATTCCGGTCTATATATTTGCTGTAATTACTGTTGCGAAGGGGTATTCTGGATCCGTGTTAAAGTTGAAGGCAACATTGCATCCGAGGCTAGCATCGATCCACGCGAAAAATGTGAATAATAAAAAAAAAGAGTACAAAAAATAATAATCAAATTCAAAAGGGCTCTCGATTTCCGGTATTTGAGTTTTACATCCATATTTATTCTGATGATGATATTCAATCCTTGAGAGCTGTCGAGGAATTTTTTAAAAGACTAAATAACCATTTCCCTCTGGCATTTAATTAAGACTCCAATTTTTCGGATACTTGGGAACTCTCGGCCCTCAGCTTTAATTGAATATCCGAGTATCGGGGCAGGTCGATGTGGCATAATCACGCAGTCGATATTTATTCAACCCAGGAAAAAGGGAATCTCAATGGGGTACAGGATAAATCACTCGAGTTCACTCGAAAAAACCAAATGAAAATATTCTGATGCACGTCCATCCATCCCACTCACCTGATTTTCAAAATCCCTCCCAGAAAATGGAATTTATCAATTCATCCGAGTTGAAATAAAAAAATAGCTAGAAAAATGGCAATAGTGCATTTTGGTATTTGGGTCAATGATCGAAATGAATCTCTCTCCATTGACTTCACTCAATCAATCCAAACCATTTGCTTTCTATTCCGGGAGTATTTATCGTCGCTGATGTGTGCAATTTCATGTCCATTGTTATTTTCTCTCGTTAAATTTGATATTCTCTCGAATGTACATGTTATGGAGGAAGGGGTCTAGCTAGGGCGGACGGATCGTTATTTCTGGGATATCGAACGACACAGACCTTCCGAAAAAAGGCGACAAAGTGTTTGTCACTGAAAAATTCAAGGAGAAAATACCTCTTTCACGGACTACGTCCATTACCAATGCAGCAAGGACAGGAATATAGTTCACGATTTTTTCCATAAACTAGATTTCAAAATTAATGTGATAATTAAATATCTGTATAACAGCAATAATCAATCATCGATGTTCGGTCTATTTTTATTATTGGTAATAAGTTGTGGGATTTCATTATTATTTTTTTATGTATTCTGGAAAAATTGAGAAATATTACTTTCTCATCAAGAAAAGTTGTGGACTAATGGTTTATACGTTCTCCTTAATTTCTGACTCTTCCAAAAAACCGGACGAACAGCTTTTTTTATGGATGAAACACGCAATCCAAACTCATAAACCATTTAAACGAATTTATTCTCAGTGTGCAATATTAAATATTATTTGAATAAAGGAATAGATAAAAAGAACCATTTCACTCCATCTTTGTCAACATTTTTTATCTACACCATTCATTTGAATAATATTAAAAAAATGAGAGTCGGTTGAAATAACCGGAAATGGATGAAACATATCAACTCTGTCTAAAAATGCTTTTCACTGCATTTTTCTGTGTGCACTGCAGGTGATTGCGGATTGTTTTTTTTTCTTTTCGTATTTTTATGGTTTACCCGATTCTCGATTTAGCAAATTGGAGCGTTAGGTGGCGTGGATCGAGTTTGCGCGGAAACACACGTTTGAGCATTCGATATTTCAACCCCTCGGAGATGATAACTCGGTGGGTTGTTACCCCGAACGACGGACGACCCACCGAGGGGTGGGGCAGACTGGCTCCACAAAAGGTCGATGAACCCTGACACGACCTTGGATCCCCCATGGAAAAAAAATAGACGAGCAGAGAGTGAAAAATCATTACTTTTGCCTCGCTAATTCACCCACTGCATGAGAACCCACACATTTCAAACAGAAACAATTACATACATTACACCAGAAAATTCCCTGGGTGGAGGCAATTTTTTTTTTATGTAAGTGAATATATTTGCAAGTGTATAATATAATTTATGGGTATATTTCCATGGGGAGGGCAATTTTACCTTCTCGATTTAATTGATCCAATGGGAGGTGCAAGTCCTGAGATTTATTGGGACATTATCCGGAATTGAGGATAATTCCGGTTTGATAACGCTATGACATGAGAGATTGCATGTTTTGCCAGTGAAAGAACAATAATTTCACAAAATTTCTGGAGCTAGTGAATTTCAATGGAGGAGAGATCACAATAATTGTGAAATCTTCTCCAGGAAATCCGGATTGTCCTGGAATTTTTCGCTGTGATCACAGAAATTCTATCCGCTTAAGTAATCTATTCCTTTCACTCGCCCAATAATTCATGAATTTTCAACTTTTTTTATCGGCACACATAAATAATATTTTGAAGTGAAATAATTTTTCTCTCTGTACAGACAAAAAAATGTGCAAATGAATTTTGAAATAAGTCAAGTGGCGAAACATCAGCAGATCGATCGATTCAGTTAATTACATAATGTATTATCAAATTGCTATCAATTTTTCAAGCACATGTTTTGTCAGACATGAGTACGAGTATCCCCGGGATTTTTCGGTCTTCCATTGCCAGATTGCCTTGGATAAAAGCCAATCAAACTGCTTTATCCGCTTATCATTACTGACTGGTGAGTTTATGATCGATGAAATGAACTTGGCTCGAGGAAAATGTATAAACAAGTGGGAATGAAACGCGTGATGACACAAAGAGTTGATTTTCGTAAACAAGCGAATCGAATAATTCCGGATATACGAGTTGAACGATAGAAAATAATAAATAGATTGATGTGAAGAGATGAAGAAAATATGAGAAAATTCCAATAGGATGTTTGGATAAAAATACCTGTTACTTTGGCATTCCCGTTGAGCTCCTTCTTCCTCTTGGGATCCTTTTTAGAAATAGCTGTGTACTGGCCCTTGCCATCCTTATCCTTCCCAAACTTGATGTTGATTCCATTATCGAGATCCTTCTCCTCATTCAGCATGTTTCAACGAAAAATAGCTACACCAGCGCGAACAACAGTAAAACAACAAACTCCCCGAAACAAAAGATTTAAAAAAACAATCTAAAAAATAATATGAATTATTCCCTTCAATATTGGCATTGATATTGAATCCAATCGTCGTCATTAGCTTCCTCGGAGTTCATAGACTCCTTGGGGCAGCTCTCGCACCTTTTTCTCCTTTGATGGCAACACGAACGCCCCGGACTGTACATAGACCCGGTATTCTCAAAATCCAAGGGCTTGAAATCCTTATTTCAAAACTTCCGGTCGACGTGCCGACAATGAAATGCTCCGATATACCGTTGGTGCATTCACTGCGCAGGAACGATTTATTTCGAGGGATTTTTCTTTGTTACGATGTGATAAAGTCCAGTTGACGCGTCACTTCCACCGGAGAAAAATCTTGGCTGGTGTTGGTGTTGGATTTTTTCTTTTTTTAGCCAGTGTCAATGATTTTTTGAAAAAAAAAAGAATGTCTTTCTTGCGCGCGTGGTGCACAGCAAACGGAGCTGTGGCGCACTGAGGATCACGGAACACCCGATCAGCTGACTGGCCACCCGTGGGGGCGAGAACCCTTTCCCCCACCATTCACTCCTCCACCTCTCCCCTCTCGCCCCTCTCCCGCCACCACCACAAACACTAGCATATGCCTGTACCACTGTTTTTTTTATTATAAATTTCATTACCTTCACTTCAACTTAAAAATTTTTATTTGAACAATTTCATCTTCAGTACATAAAAAAAAAGTACACAAAAAAAGTGAGGGTTTTGTTTATAAAAAAAAATTGTGGAAACCAAAATTATAGCTATTAGTATTGGGTTATTCGATCCCCAGAATTTTTCAGGAATATTTCATGACATTGATACGTTAATGCAGATGAAATCGAGAAGCGGAAAATTTTTTCATTTGGCGGATGCGAATTGTCATTCGATGCTGAATGGATTGAATTTCCGCGTCATGTTCATGAGCAGTTTTGATGCTTCATGTGGTATGTCATTGTCACTATATCGTAAAACCTGTGAGTGTCGATTGGAGGAATCGGTTGCATCGAAGAAAAACCTGTGCCACATCGAATAAAATTTATAAACGGAAAGAAATCTCCGAAAAAAACCGGGCGAAAAATCCTGAATGCATCGATTGGAATATTGAGGCTGCAGTAATTTCCTCAAGATCGGGTCAATCGTACTGGGATAAGGGGAAATTAATTAATTCGATCGCGTGCACTCTTGTGCTCGTGATCGCATGACCTCAGAACTAGTATAAACCGCTTGCATGAATGTAAATTATCGTCACTCGTCACAATGCGTTTCATTTTTCTTCCGAACGAGAGAGGAAAATGTAAATGAATCATGCGAATTATAGGAGCCATTACCGAGTGAAATGCACTCGTTCTAGGATTTTTCTGGGGGATAAACTGGGGAAAATTCTGAGCTGAGGAAATCACTTGCATTTTCTGTGATGCAATGCACAAATGGAAGTGATAATACTCGGGCCATTGCAACTGCAAAAAAATTCACCGCCTGTGAAATTCGTCGTAAACCACACAAAAAAAAAAACAGACGGTCACTGGATTTTATCCCACATTATTTTTTCAGGGGCAGTATTAATTGTTTATTGCACTTTTTATTTGACAGCGCAAATTCACGAGTAATTCATCCAGTGAAATCCAGTTTATCCTAGAATAACGAAATTCATTCGATTTTTCATCCATTTTTCTTTCCATTTACAGCTGCAATGGAGGTAAGAATTATTTAATTGTTGGGGCAATGACTTATGACTCCGTAAATTGGTAAATTGGTGGATGGTACGTACACTCGTAATCAACCGGTTGATCATCTAGTTGTCGCGTGTTGCGGATATGGCATTGCATCAGCGCATATCCGAGAGAAATGCAATCGATCGACATTTACCTGGGGATTCAAAAATGCAAATCCCTATGAAGAAATAATTCTTTGATGTTCGCAAAAATATCCGGTGGAAACCGGTTTTTTTTCGACATTTTCCAGATAATTTTTCGCTAAAATCTGCAAAGGGATTTTTTTTTCAAACAATCGGACGGAGGGGTAGAATAATATTAAATGAGAATCCCTGGGTAAATAAATTTCTGATTTTTACTAAATGAAGAGAATTAAAAAGTATAGTGTCTGCTGGAGTTGGTTCTTCATTTGCAGGTGTCGGCGAGCCTTTGAGATTTCTCGTTTATCATCTACGAGTTGCAATAAATTTCCGATTCATGACTTGTACCGACGAAAGGGATTTTCCTTCTTGTTCGTCGGTAATGAATATCCATCGACCCGATAATTACGAAAGATTTCACAGTATTTTTAATACCAAAAAATTATATTCTCTATAGATATTAAAATTAAAAATAATATTATTACAGAAATTCGGCGAAAAAAAAAATATGGGAATTGTGATCGATCTCTGCCGACGAAATTCCAGGATTATCTCGAGGGTAATTACCCACCTCGACAAATATCCTATTGGAGATGTCAATTATAGGAGACAGTCGAACCACTGAATAATTTCTAATTCCACTTCCCTGCGGTATGAAATAATCAGCAGACGCATGACTAATTGCAACCTGTCGAGAGAACAATTGCCATCTAAAATCATGGCGACAGTTTCCTAAAAATTCAAACCCCCGTTTTGAGTCAAAATTACGTTCCAGTGAATTTTACCACGAACAATAAAAAAAGGTCCTCCAAGGAGTTATTGCCGTTATTTTCTCATTACCGGCAATAACTTGTTAATTCGAATAGAATGATGTAAATAATTTTCTTCTGGGAATTAGCAAATGAGTGGGATTGCCGAGTGTCGGGTTCTCCATGAATTCCTTTCAATTCCTCGAGAAAAGGGTCTGAAAAGGATCTATTAATAAGGTCTGGGAATATGAATGAGGGTCAGGTGGTAACGATTTTCATCGGACAGGCTGGGGTTCAAGTGGCTAATGCCTGCTGGGAGCTTTTCTGTCTGGAGCACGGAATTACGAGTGATGGATGCATGTTCGAGACTTACGAACCCGACGACAGATCTTATCAGGCTTTTTTCACCCCCACTCAAGTACAATAATCTCCCTAATGATATGCAATGATAAAGAAAAATTCCATAGAAAATTGATAAGCGATTTGTCCTCTGAAATTTTAAACAGGAAAAAAAATCTCTCATATCACTAATTATTGTTCCCCCATTCATGAAAAATAGCGTTCATCAATGCAATTGGACGCTGCAGTCTCGCATAATGAGTCCCTCGAAATATATTTCAGTCTGGAAAATTCTGCCCTCGTACAGTAATAATGGACCTGGAGCCAACCGTGATCGATGAAATACGAACAGGTGCTTATCGATACCTCTTCGATCCATCATCCCTGATAACCGGTAAAGAAGACGCTGCGAATAATTTTGCGAGGGGATATTACACGATCGGCCAGGAAATCGTGGAGCTGGTGTTGGATAGAATCCGAAAAGTCAGCGAAACCTGTCCCAGACTGAATGGATTTATTATTTTCAGGTTTCGAATTCACCCGAAATTTATGTCAAATAATATAAATTATCATCCAACCCCCTCTCCCTGTTGAAATTTACCCCAAAGCCTCGACTAGACTTTGAGCTTTGAATTTGAATTTTTTGTTTTTTTTTGAATATTTTTTTTGAATTTTTTTTGAATTTTTTTTTTTGAATGAAAAAATTTTTTTTTGAATTTTTTTTCTCGACTTAATTATTTGCTTTTGATTCATGTGATTTCATTAATATGAAATTCCCACGAAATCCAGGAGTTAGAGCTCAAGATGTTCGTCGAGTGAAAATTAAATGCGAGTTCAGCCATGTCTGTTAATTATCGTAATTAGGTCCTTTGGGGGTGGTACTGGAAGTGGATTTACTACTCTGATGCTTGAGCATTTGATGTCGGATTATGGTAAGCGATCAAAACTTGATTTTGCTGTGTATCCAGCTCCCAACATTTCCACGGCAGTCGTTGAACCCTACAATGCAATTCTGACCACTCATGGCACATTAGATTATGAGGATTGCTGTTTTGTCGTTGATAATGAGGCGTTGTACGATATTTGCTCTCGGTGAGACATTCTTCAATATTCAAATTTTAAATTTTATTCTGAATTTTGAATTTGAATTTTTCGAATTTTTTTAAAATTTTTTCTTGATTTTTTTTTGAATTTTTTTTTTGAATTTTTGAATTTATGAATTTTTAAAAATATATCCAATATGATATTGAGAAATATATAAAATTCCATTGAATAATATATTATTGAATAAAATTTGTCAATGGGGATTGAAATCTTGCAATGGAAATTCCTTGATTGAGAAAAAATAATGAAAGCAAGTATTTCGTTTCGTATGTACCTGGATTTTCATGTGATTTTTCAAATATATTTTGAGTAATAAATTTTTCAAGAAATCTGGATGTGGATTCACCGACGTACACGAATCTCAATCGTCTCCAGGCACAAGTTGTTTCAGCAGTGACTGCATCTCTGAGATTTGAAGGAACACCGAACGTCGGGCTCGAGGAATTCCAGACAAACCTAGTGCCTTATCCCAGAATCCATTTCCCCCTGATAACGTACTCCCCTATCACAACTGCCAGACGAGCGATCAACACGAATCTCACAACATCGCAAATCACCAGCGAGTGTTTCGAAACTGCTAATCAGGTCTAGATTGCTACGAAATTGCGTAATTCCCACAAGAAAATCGCGAGAAAATTACGCGAGAAAAATAGAATTCTGTTTCAAACATTTCAGACAATTGAACAATCTCCACTATTTTCAGCAATTAATCAATAAATATTTAATTATTCAATATTTAATTTCAAAGATCAAGGAATATCAATCAAATAAAAAATCTTCTCTTTCTCAGAGTAATGAATAAAAAAATTTAACTCAAAGTCATTTCACAGATGGTTAAATGCGATCCGAGAAAAGGCACCTACATGAGCTGTTGTTTGCTGTACCGAGGAAATGTAAATCCAAATGAAGTGAACAGTACAATAAATGCACTCAAAGGGAAGAAATCCATTCGATTCGTCGACTGGAGTCCATCAGGTTTCAAGGTACGCGCAATATTCCAGGAATGGCTTTGATTCCTCGGAAATAACACTCGGTACCAATTACGACGATTATTACAGATTGGAATTAATTACCAACCACCGACGACAGTTCCTGGAGGTGATTTAGCGGCGTCGGACAAGTCTGTCGTTATGTTGTGTAATAGTACGTCAATACGACAGGCTTGGGAGAGACTTCTCAAAAAATATAATCTCATGTTAGCAAAAAGAGCTTTTGTCCATCATTACATTGGGGAGGGAATGGAGGAGAGTGTCTTTAGTGAAGCTAAAGAGGATATCACAGCTCTCATTCAGGATTACAAGGAAGTCGATACCTGAATTCCTGAAATACAATTTATATTGAATTTTTAAAAAATTTTATTGTATTGATAAACAGGAAAAATAGGAAATACACGAAGGGGATGAATATTTTGATGATTTATCATTTGATATCGGATTGGTGAAAGTATTTATATCGTGAGACGAAAGAAGAATGAGTTGCTGATTAAATTCCGCGCGTGTATCTGATGGGATTCCTCGGATTACTTCTCTCGCGAAATTACAGGAAAAAATATTCTTGTTTTCTATTTTATTTTCACTGTTTTTATTTGACGTTTTATGCAGATTACTCAATTACAACTCGTCCACGAAATACGTAATGATGTAGCTTGTTGTAGACTGGCGTTTCTACTCCATTTTGTGATGATAAATGTTATCGATAGCGATTAAATGGTCGAACTGTGCCCCCAGCGGTGTGTCAGGTGTTCGAAGAGACAAAGTGTGACCATGAGATTAGGAAGTTATAAAAATCGTAAAGCTCTTGAGACCTGGAATACATCGGGTCTACTTGAAGCACTCTCACTTCGCATGATCACAAATCTGATAATTGCAATATGACATAATTATTGGAGGAGGTTGTATCGATGATCAGGTGATATTCATGAATGAGTCCGCGGTTTTCATTCGCTGAGGGGATTAATCCTCCTATCACGTAGTACGATACAAAATATTTTGCTCGAAACGCCCACGATAAAATTCGATTCCAAAAATTTGAGATTTTATATTCTCATGATAAAAAATATTTACTAACAATATCTTGAGTAATGAGTGATTTTTCAATGACAAGGCATTGCGCTAGAATTGAAAAATAGTCTCCTGACGTTTCAGGAAGTACCGAGACTAGGGTACAAGGTACAGAGGCAAACAATACCATTTTCACAGATTATTTTGATTAAATCCTCACCACAGACGTCAATCGATTATTCAGACTTCACGCGTCATTGATGTTTCTAGACTATTTGATAATGCAATCACAGTATCATTGTTGAAGAGAGATTGAAACCGCATTGAAATGATTCTCACGAGATGTGTTTAGTCCCAAGTTCAAACCGATGAGTCAATCATCTCGTTGATTACTATTTACTCATTGATTGAATAATAATCAACGGAATAATAACAGCTTCCCAATGATTTGGAAATTCAAATCCAAAACATCATGATTGAATCATAACGAAACCTTTATACCCCACGTATTTCTATACTTTGTCCTTATGTTTTATCGTAAAACCGGTGTTAAGAGGAATCATCCAACTCTATTATCCCGACTGATTGATAAGTTTAGTCCAATGATAATGCGTTATCACCGCAATAAATCATGGAAATTGGGCTTTGATATCAATTTGTCAGCGTCAAAATAGAATTTTCTCATTCGAATGAAGTCATTAATTTTTTTCTTCACATACCTAAAAATGATTTTTCATTGGCATCAACAGCACGTGTTGTAGTATTTTTGACAATAATTTTCCAATGAGATATCGCCGATTTAATATCGAAATCCCCCGAATCGAGCAATCACCAACCAACAGCATGACGCAGTCATCGACTCAAGAGCTCGGTCAGAAATTTCTTATCTCGATTATCCCCTCACCCTGGCGACGATTACATACGATGGGACAGCGTTCGTATAAATCCGAATGATCGTGCCCCGGGTGATCAGTTCTACTCAGATTTTCATTAAGAACAGCAACCACGAATGAAGAATCGCGGGCTCTCTTGATATTAATCAAGATCATTCAACTATTGCAGTTCTGCAACACTTGGTATAACTTCCAATTATTTGGAGTTATCGAATTCTCTAGTCAACTTTTCAACAGTATACAGAGATTCTAATCAAGGTAAGAAGATAATTACATCAAATCAATTGTCAAGTATATGATGAATTAAAATTAAAATTCTTTTCAATGTCGATAAACCATTGCTAGACTATGATGATTATTTTTAATTGATTTCTTAATGAAGTTGTGAAAAATCGCCTGGTTACCCATCACCATTTTGTTGAATGAAATTTTTTCAAATTATTTAAACGATTTTTATTTGTAGATGCTGATTGGTGGAGCAGTGAGCTACGTAGCTGGCAAGCAGGCAGTCAGGACTGTATATTGGAGAACATCGAACAAGGGTCGTCTCCTGAAAACAGCAAAAACATGCATGTTCCAGGGACCGCCAAAGCCAGCCCCATCCTCAACCTCTGCCACAGTCTTTCCTCAGCAATCTCGCATCGACGTCCTACCGAAAGTCATTTTCAAGAACTGAATCACCACAATGTACCTAAAATTTAATTGTTAAGGGATATTCTTCATGGTGATCACACAAGACATCATGAAAGCCAATAAACATATTTATTAACCGAATAAAAAATCATTCATTACCTTCCCCCAGTTTCCAATTATATCTCCCAGCACTTATTGAGCTCGTGCTGCTCGAATGATCGCATTTATATCTTCATTGTCTAGGGCTTTTGTTTGCAAACATGATATTCAATATTTTTTTTTTAAAACAAATTCGAGAGAAATCTCTGAATTCAAGGGAGATGGATAAAAAAAAGAAATTCTGAGAATTTTTCGATTAACTAGCAGCCAATAATTAATCTATTAGTTATATCAGCTATTGTTGGATGCAGATAAGGTCGATCTTTGGGCGCGATAGCAATATTATCTACTTGGAAATTGTTGAATCGCTATTAATTCGTGTCGAGATGATTTAGAATTAGGTCGAATCAACTGAAGCAAATATTTATGGGTGTGCGCGCATGTTAGATGAATTTCTCTTCCTTTATGTGCATTCCACTGACAATTATTGACAACAGTAATTATCAGAGTGATGTTATTGTGATTGATGAAATAAATATCTCGTCACATGAATATCCCCAGGAGGAATGAGCAATTATTATTGTTAGGGAGAACAACAGCTGTGAGGAAATTGAAAACATCCCCCTGTTATCTCTTGCGACATTGTGGTAAATGGCGCTATTGTTCGAAAAGGATGGTCTCGTAACTCTGATTGTCCTGTCGATTACAATTGAAGCAATTTATCTGAAATATTCGTACAATCCGCGGCAAAATTTCGCTGGCTGTTTAAAAATTGTTTAAATAATTCCTGGAAAATAATTCATACACCAGTACTGAGAAAAAAAAATTGGTGCAATGAAAATAATAATTGTTTTTGACTAATTAGGTAATTATATTTAATTAGCAGGGATAATTTAAGGGATTGGTGTGTGTAACATGAACTTTAGATGGAGGAACGATTGAGTGATTAAAGATTTGAATTAGCGGAAACGTTCAAGGTCGCACGAGTTTGAACTCGATGATTTTATCGTTGATTTTTATATCGATCATTACCAATTGGAATGACCTCATGTCGATTCTTGAAAAATTCTGAGATGTCTCGTAACGTGAATCATTTGATAGAGATTATAAAAAATAAAAAATCGAGTGTCGTTTTAAATTTTATATCTCTCGTGACAGCATTTCCTGGGGAAATTCCTGAAATTCATGAGGAACTGAAATGCAGTTTCCAATAAATCGAAACTGCTGTAAAATAATAATCACCGATAATACCATTGTAATGGATTATTCACCTATTCTTCAAGGCAATTTTACAATCTCAATCGGGGTCAATGGAAGTGTAAACTGCAGATGACGTCAAACAAAAGTGCGACAGGCGCCAAGAGAGTATGTGAAGAAAATGTAGAAAGTCAAAGTCTCACCCCAGAACGATAATAATTCTATCAAGAGAATTCTCGCATTATTCCAGAAACCAGGAAAATTCTCCCATTACCCAGAGTGGATAGTCGCATTTTTTCGATTCCAATTGTCAACTGATATCTCAAAATTGCGAAAAGATAGCGAAATTTTTATGTAAACATTTTTTACAGAGAAGAATGAGACCTACAAAAAAGATATTTACAAAAAAATCGTCATCTCCCTTCGATTCCGACATATCGACTGAAAACGGGGGTGAAAAAAAAAAATAGAAATCGCTGTCGAAATGATTTTGATTGAAGGAAAAGGGATGGAACAGATCAATTAATAAATCACAGCAGTACAAGCGAGCGTCGATATCAGTTTGTTGAAGGCAGTGACAATTTCCCGAATGCATCCGTTTCCGTGAATTCTGTATAACAAAACCCCCAGGAAATTATGAGACTGGCAATGTTTCCCCTTTCCTCCTCAATCCCTCAGCCATTGGTTAATGGCTGGTAGGTATTGGTAGTGACAATAGTGAAAGAGGAAAACGGGGAAGAGGTCGAAATGCTGAGCACAACCCCTACCGACACCCAGAGGGTGGAAAAGGAAGTGGTGTAGATATACCATTTGGAGTCGGCGCAATGAAGCGTCTATCGATTTCATACGTGAAAAGTAGAAGAGAAGGTGCACGCTTGGTCATCGATTTGACACAACAAGCTAAAGGGATTGCTTGGAGGTACGAGGTCGTCAGAATAGTGTGAAGGTACTATTTTTTTTTGGTTCAGGTTGTTTGATTTCATCCGGAATTTGGCAACAGCAGACAACAAAAATAATCCAATATTTCAAAATTATTCTGTGAAATTGATCGTTAAATTTCGGGGTAATAGAGAGTGAGGGGTTGAAAGTGGAGTGAATTTGGTGGGACAATGCAAAATTATGGACACGAGGATTACGACTACGGTGCTGATGCATCGGGTACTCAGGGTGGCGGAAGAAATCTTCCAAATCCACCTGGGGTACGACCAAAGGTCGATCCTATGGCGGAGGGTGAAGTCGATCCGTCGATCTATGGACAACCCAAGGAGGCTACTCACAAGATTCGCGGCAAGAGTGATATCCTTGAGTACCTTTTTGGCACTGTAGATCAGGAATTGCTCACTGTCAAGACCTTCTACTTCTTCTTTTACTCGGCATTCGGATCTCTCTTTCCCCTTATGGGGGTGTATTTCAAGCAGATGGGAATGAATGCTGGACAATGCGGACTTCTCATAGGATTGAGGCCCTTCGTCGAGTTCCTCAGTGCACCCTTCTGGGGCTCCTTGGCAGATAGGTGAGTGCCTACTTTGCTTATTGGGTCTTTTTCAGGGGAGAAATCTATTGTTCTGAGATAGGGAGGCCAGAGGGCTTTGCTTGTGTCATGAATTGTTTGACAAATGGCTTTCTTCCCACCGAGTTTGCCAGTATGCATGTCAACAAATAGATGTAGAAGTGAGAGTAGAAGTAGAGAACCAAATTTTTTGGGCCCGACCAGAGGACCATCAAAAATTTTCAGGTGGCAGAAGGGAAAGATCATTCTCCTGGCGTCGCTCTCCTGCTGGATAATCTTCACCCTGCCGATTGGTTTCGCTCAGCCACCACCCACCACCTGCATGGAATGGAGCAACAACAGCGAGTGGCTGGCGGTCCCCAAAACAGGGACTCGCAGCAAAAGATACGTCGATCTGGACGATTTTTATCAGCCCCAGGAGAGCGACGACGAGGATCTCGAAGTGGCTGCCAATGTCGTCTTCGGGAGACTCAGGAGGGACACCGATTACTCCAGTGGAAGAACTTCTTATGATTCACTGGAGCAAGTCTCGAACCCAAGGATCCGGAGGCAGGTGGATGCAACCGATCTCAAATATAAGCAGTTTGTGCCTGAGGGGACCGTTGAGGACGATCCCACCGCCAAGACCATTGACTTCGGAACCATCGCCAAGGCTAATCGTCCTGCCGATGTCCTCGAGTACAAGAGGTTCCTTAAAGTAAGTCCACGGATTTTTACACGGAGAAGCATTCATTGTAACAGGCTGAAAATTCAAGATTGAAATTTTTTTATCACGGATTGGTGACCGGATACTCTTTCAATTTCAAATTTCCACTGTCTAGAATGAGCCGATGGATGAAACGAGACCCCCGAAGAAAGCCCACACCCGTACTAAATTGCATTCGAAACCACCGCGTGCTAAAGTGATGGCAAAACGTTCAGTGGAACTCCACGACGAGCTTTTCACAAGCTGGGGAAAAGAAGAAACCAATGAAGTCGACAGCCGCAACCGTCGGCTCATGTCCGCAGAAGAGCAAGACGATATCGAGCTAGAGGAGTTCGAGGACGACGCCGATGTCGAGGAGGTCGATGTTCCTCTCATCAGAAAACGAAGAAGTATGAAGTTTGTATATCAGAATCAGGGGAAAAGTCCTGTGTCTGTCAGGAACGCGAGAAATTACAATCCGAAGGAGAACAGCGATTGGGTGAAGCCAGCCTTCAGCACAATCGTCTATCGACTCGGCGTGAGTATTTTATTTTCGGAGAGAATTTTTATTCCGATATTATTCGAGTGAGTGGTACGATTTTAGAAATTAAGATCACGAAAAGCACTGCAGCTGAAAATATGAGCTCAAATATTTTCCTCTGCAGGACATCCAAAAGACTTTCTTTCTTCTTCTTCTCCTGGTGATCGTCGGAGAATTTTTCTCAGCCCCGGCGATCACTCTCGCTGACTCTGCAGTGATCACTCTTCTCGGAGAAGACGCTGATAGATACGGACATCAAAGAATGTTCGGAAGCCTTGGCTGGGGTCTGGCCATGTTCTTCGTTGGAATCGCTCTGGATCATAGCACGTCTTTTCCTGATCATCCCTGCACTCCTGATCCCAGGGAGAAGAACTACACCATCTGCTTCGCCATCTTCAGCGTCTTGATGGGGGCTGCATTGATCACTGCTACTCAGATTAATTTCAAATATGAATTCATAGCTCCTCAACCGGTGAGTTCGGCCACGGAATTTTGCCCATTTTTTTTCCATCGAAAAAATTTTTCCGTTCAAAGAAAAATATTTCTCTTTGCATGTAGGAAGTTGTGAAGCCCCCAGCAGAGCCAACACGAGAAGAACAACTGCAGTCTGAGTTATCTCAGCAGCTAAATCTACCAGGATTACAGGACTCGTCAGGAGCACCCCCCGCAGCTCCACCCCCCGAGGGCAAAGTAAGAGCCAATAAAGTGAAAATGAAAGCTGAATAATTCATGACTACGCCATTACATTTTTTAAATCTTTTCGTTCTTGATAATCATCGGCTCTAAACGAATATTTTTCAGACGAAGATGTTTGCCCAGACAACGAGGGAGATACCAGAGTGGGTCACGGTTCTCAAGCAATTCAAGGACCTCAAGTGCGCTTCATTCCTCTTCGTCGCTTGGTTCATGGGCTTTGGTATAGGACTCATATTTACATTCCTCTTCTGGCATCTCCAGGACTACGGAGGCTCGCCAACCCTCTTCGGTGTTGCTTCTGTGATTAATCACATCTCGGAAATTTTCGCGTATTTCTTCAGCTTCAAGCTAATCGGGGAATTCGGACATGTCAAGGTGCAGAGATAAATAATTGGCCGCAATATTGGTAAAATATTGGATGATTATTTAATAATCGTCAATGAATTGAAAATACGTTGCAGGTTCTTTGCTTGGGTCTGGGGGGGAATATCCTGCGCTTCCTCTACATTTCGTACCTGAAGAACCCATGGTGGGTGCTACCCTTTGAATTCATCCAGGGTATTACACACGCCGCGGTCTGGGCTGCATGTTGCAGTTACATCGCGCATAACACACCTCCACAATTACGATCGAGTGCTCAAGGGGTTCTTCAGGGGCTTCATCATGGTCTTGGAAGGGGATGTGGAGCAGTTATTGGGGGGATGTTCGTTGCGAGCTACGGTGAATACTTTAGTTTTTCTCCGTTCCTCTGGTTCGTCAATTACGCACGACCGGAGTTTGTACGTGTGAAGAAAATTCACAGACCAAATGAACAAAAATATTGATTTAAAAAAAATGAAGGACCATATCGTTGTTGCATGCAATTTGCATTAATGGAGGTCATTGATTTTATATTTACAGGGAGTACTGCAACGTTCCGTGTGTATGGCCTCCTCTGCGCAGTCGTCTTGGCCGCTTTTATCTTCATAAATTTCTACAGAAAAGATACCGGATTTGTTGCTGATTTACCACAGACCGAAGATCCCCATCAAGTGGCGGAGGCAACTCATCTAGCACCTCACGGAGTACCGAGTAATGCTATCCCACGGGCATTAAGCTCAAGTAGACTTCACGAGCTTGCACAAGAGCCCAGTTATGGAGCTACTTATCAGACGACTGGAGGAAACCTCAATGTTCCTGGGGGTAATGGAGGTGATGATTTTTTATATTAATTTCATCGTCCTCCATGTCCAGGTTATTGACATCATTCATTATTTTCCCAGGAGGAAACCCAAATAATCCGTTCTTGAGCGGCGGCGGTGGTGGGGGTACTGGAGGCGGTTACAATTATGGTATGAGCGGTAAAGGAGAGGACGAATTCATTCGTAGGAGCTTCCAGGTACAATAGAGCTCGAACATTCGAACGCATACGAATGCTATTGATTGAATGAATTTTTACAACATAATTATCACTACAAAAAATGCTTCGAACTTCGAACGAGGTAGACTCCGTCCTCTACCTTAATCCCATGGGAATTATTTTAACAGGCGTATTGATTTTCACGAAGTTCAGAAGGATTGGAGCAGGGGAATTCGTTAAATAATCCATGACTTTTTCATTGCAGACTTACAGTGAAGTGGTGGGTAGGGAGTACGACCTGAAGCCACCACCGGTGGTAACCCATCTCCATGCCCAGCAACCATGTACCAATCCATTTCATCAGCATGGCTATGATTGGTAACGAAACTGCCCATTTGCAGTTTAATTAAATTGTCTAGGTTTTATTGAAATGTGAAGAAAGAAATTTGCACTGAAGTGGTAAATCGAGACATGTGGACTCAGCCCTTCTGACTAATTGAAATATCTCTCAAGTTGAGGGAGATGGTCAATTTTTTGTAATAACCTTTATTGCGGTTCTCAACGAGCTCTATAAAATTGGTTTATACAAAAATTTCATTATCTCCCCCAGTTCCAGAGGTATTTCCGAAAAACCATCGGAGAGCTAAGAAAACTCACCTTTTACGACTTCCGTACAGAAATGAAAGCACTTGATGGGGGAGAATATCTTCCAGTCAGGAATTATCCTATTCCTAATTGAAAGATATTATCTTCAATGAGGAAATTAATGAAAAATATAAACAGTTGGACGTTTTATAAAAATAAGGAACGAATGAACAAAGCGCGAAAGGTAGAAGAATTGATATCACTTGACCATCTGGAGGTGTCCGAGGCGCTCACAATTGAAAGATTCATAATATCGCTCATTTATCTATCAGTACGTATCATATCACCTCATCCGCATGTCATTGAGTTGACTTAGATATGTTTAAAAATAACTTGAAGGAAAATTCACTGAGATATCAGTCCACAGTAACGAATCTAACGAATTTGATCCATCCGTTTAAACAATTTGATTAACTTCAGTGAATTAATTTTTCCATGAATTCCCAATCCCCTCGAGTCTTTGAATGAAATATCATCAGCTCGTAATCCTGTATTTTTAACTGTTGATGAATTAAAATCCCCGCGTTTTCACAGGGAGAAGTGACACGATCGAATAAGTAAATGCAAATTTGTAAATAATTATTAAATTTGCGAGAACTCCGAAGCAGACTAATTGTTTTCCGTTGAATTTGCCTAGATGTTCTTCAGTGAAAAAAAAAAGTGAAAAAAAAAAATGATATAAGAGAGTATATTATAAATATTGTATGGTTAGAGCCTAGACCTAAGCCTATTACCTATTAATAATTCATTAATGACAATGTGTTTTGTCTCTTGAGTCTGTTCATTTCGTTGAGATTATTAAGAGGGCAATGATTATCATCCCACCTTTAACCCTCGTAAGGCACAAAAAATAATGAAAAAAAAAGTCTAAACGAATTGTACCTATCTCGAACAGTTCTTTAGTCGTGAAAACATTTCACTGTTTTCCAATAAATGATTAAGTACATAAGAAGTATTAATGGTTGGAAGAATGCGACGTGACGTCGTCGTGGGCACTTGTATGAATTTTGTGTCTTGAAGTTTGAATATACGTTATGAATAACAGGTTGGAGATGGAAAGGAGAGTTAATTTTTCGCATTTCAATGATTAATATTGACGAATCAATCACATTAATCGATTATCACTGGCATCTCCACTATCATCAAGCTTGGAAATACCCACTGGTTCATTGAACTCTCATTTGTTTAAAGCAGAGAGCAGATTAATTTGTCTTTGTCATTTGACTTGAACATTTTGCGCTGTTTTTTTTGACAATTTTTTATTCTCTCGGTAATCAATTGATCTTTTGGGGTGGAAATGTATTGGCCCTCATTTTGTCGTGACGACTTATTTTTGTAAATCGATCATGACATTTCATTGGTGCTTCTCAGGGCTAAAATTTGGATCACAAATAATTTTATATAGAGTGAAATACACCACGCATTCTGGGACACACGCTCTAGAAAATGAAAACGATCAATACATATCAGATAATCTTAAGCTGTTCCTCAACATAGAGAAGAGAAATAAATCGTCGCATTTCGCATCATGTCCATCGTTGAAATAATTTCAGATTCAGGAATAATGGGAGATAAATTGAAAGGTGATAGGAGGATTGCGAGGTGCGACAGCGCATATCTGTATCATTGCTGTAGCCAAATAGAGATTGTTATCAGAGGAGTTACTCTGTTACAAGGAAAACGCGAGACAATGTATACTGACGTTTCGATAATGAAAATATGAACAAAGAAAAACGCTATGAGATATTTCACGCTGCTTGGCTTTCTTATTTGCCCTCTTCAGTATTTTCCAGTTGTTTTTGCTGTAATTTTATATAAATTTTTCACTCATTTCCATATTCCAGCTGAACCACACGCGATCATCATGCACTTGCTATCATTCAGACCATTCCTTATCTATAAAGGAGAGCATAATGGCTACCGCTAAAAATATGGCTGATATGTTTTTTTTTTGGGAGAAGAATAATATCGCTAGATTTAATAGTAAGGATTTTTAAAAAGTGACAGTTCAGGGAAAACTAGAAATGGGAAGAATTCTAAAGATGATTCAGGGATACCCAAGTGACTCTGGCGTTTTACAAAAAAAACCACAGGTAACATATTCAAATGACAATGAAGAGGAATCTACCGATCATTATTAATATTTACATGGGACAGGGTGACGAGGTACGTATCGAGCCATCGACCTGTCCAAGATATTTTTAGTTCATCTAAAAAAAAAAACAAGCAGGCTATGTAAAAAAGAAAGTCCAGGGATTGAGTAAAAATGGATAAACGAGAAGAGGTTCAAACGTGTTACTATTAAATAACGGTTTTATTGGTAAGTATTTAATGATAGCAGGCTAGGGTAATTCGTCAATTGAAAATTCTTGTTTTTAAACTATAGGCACTATTCAAAAGCTTAAAATCTAGCTTGTTGCCTAGCGCTCTGATTAAATCTCGATGTACCGTGTTTCTCTTCACTTTAATTATAAACTACCTTCGTAGATGAATTATTTCAAAAATTCTCATTTATTACTCAGTAGCGATTGAAATTTGCCTCCCAAAAGGGGACGACAGAGAATAGCAATTTGTTCTATACAACTAATTTATTTAATTTCATTTGAATGTTATTACTTGTGTTAATCGATTATCGTTGAGTATAAATTATTCATAATTTTGTTTTCAATTTAACGGATTTGAGCTACTGTCAATTGAGCAGTGCTATTTAATATTTTTTTCAATTAATTCAACCGATTGGTGCAAATTATGGTTATTATGTCAATTATTATTGAAAAGTGAAATACACTTCAACATGTGCCATTGTTATTACTCTTTATTTTTCATCGTCCATAATTTTTTTTATTTTCTCAATAAATGTGAAATGAAATAAAAAATCGCTCTACTCGGTCCACGTGGAAAATAATTTAGCATCACCAGAAGTCCGTTTTTTCATTCAAAAATTACGTCTAATAAATACGGTGCTGTGGTATTCCCACATATGGAGATCATACTGGAAGCGAATGAGAAGGCAAAGAATACTATTTTCCAATACTGTCGTGTTGCTTTCACAATTATTATTAATTTTCATATTCTTAATATTTTTCTGAGCAACAGCGTGTGTTTTATTTCCTCTAATTTCTCTTCGAATTATCCTATGTATTGGCACAGATACCCACTGGTATCGTTTTTCATTAAGCAAAATGTTTACGATTAATAATTAATTCTAGACTCAACCCTTTCATTCATGGGATTACTGATTACTGAGAAGCAAGTATTTACAATGGAATCAATTACATTCGAGAGTTTGAAATGATGAATGTTCATATTATGTACTAAAATGAACCCATTGTATATGTTCATTATGCAATGAACAGATTATGCAAATGATTTTTTGCATTCCCTTTTATTCACTCATTTTTCTTTCTCGTTTTGTCTCCCATAAGTCGAAGATTTTAAAACGAAAAGTTTCAAATAGTGAACATGAAGATAGTATTTGGATCAGACTAGCAATGAATGAATTTTCAAATCGAAGTCATTGTGGGGAAAATTAATGAATCAAAGGGATTAATGACCCAACAGTTCACTCGCGCTAAATTGGATCGGCATCGGGCAGTGTGTCACTAACGGCAGAGTTGCATGATTTATAATGGATTTAAAATATCATCTAAACAATAATAACTGTGACACAGTGAGGCAATGATCTTAGGATACTCTGGGCGTATACTCGTAGATTTCAATAATCCAATTACACTCTGATTCGCTCATTCACTTGCAGTGATTCGCACACACGTAACATAAAAATTGTAAAACCTAGTAGCGATCAGAGATGCCTATTTTTCAGCGAGCAGAGAAAAATCACATGATTCATTTTATATCAATCGATTTAATCATTTTAGAGAGTGATATTTCTCTGCTGTCGATATCAAGGCTTCTATAATCCATCGCCATATTATTTTCCGAGGTCACAGCCGTTAGGGGATGCGAACGTGTGGCGACCGAAAAAATTCAGTACCACCTACGAGCGCTGAAATTCCTAAATGATCCTTAGGAGAATGATATCGTGTAAATCACTTAAAATTACATGAAAAAATGGATTTCATGGTATTGGATACCAGTGCATGACCAGTGTGGAATCAGCATAATCTAGGTAATAAATAAGTGAGGCATGTGAGGGGATTATGGTTAAAACCTAGTATCGAATGGATATGTGCACTTGTTAATTATCTGCAACGATAACACTCGTGAATCTAGTTGATAATGAACTTAAATCCTAAGGCCGCTACGCGATCTCCACACTGCGCCACGTGATCACAAATTTTATAATTACGAGTGCCTTACTCGCCTAGACAGTCTATAAAGTCTTTTTTCTTATGCTCGGACTAGAGAATTTACGTGATCATACGCGACATCGACTCCATCGACACCTAAAAACGATCGAGAAAAAAGAATAAAAAAAAAAAAAAAACAAGCGTAACAAAAAGATCGTTTATATTTTTCACAAAATAACTCATTCTTTGTACCCTGTAAATTAATACAAAATAAAACTAAAAACAGTTAGAAGATTGAGGATCTCATGTCAGATGATTCATCGCAGAATTTGTTTGATAATGGGGATAACGAATAGAACTTGAACGCTATGAATATTGAAGATTAAGCCCACGGTAAATCACACTGAAAAAATTCGGTGGACCGTTTAAATTCCACAAGAAAACAGTATAATCGAGTTCCTACGATTTATGCTTTACTGATGCCAAACTCTGCCGTGCCATGACACGCGGTACGAGCGATCTAATTCACGCTAGGAACAATATAATCATCAGCGTTACGCTCAATGACAAAGCTGGATCGTCCATTCCCCTCAACTAGTCAGATGTCAACTTCGAACATGTCTTGTTCAATTGGCTTCTTCACCCAGTTTCCAAGTTGGGCGCGTACAAATGCCTCCTTGAGTTGACGTTTAGCGAGCTGAAACGATCGATTACAAACCCCCAAACTCGGAACTAGTACCAATTTTCATTCTTCTCTACTTTTTTTTATTCGTAACAATAGAATAACGAAGAGGTAGAGATCCAAACTGAGAAAAAATTAATTTAAAGTGAATAATGAGGACCTATTTTTCAGAGGCAAATTGAGTTGAGAGGTAAAAAAGGGAAAGATAAAATAAAAATACGCAGCAATGGTAACAATACCCCACCTCTTCGCTACTGGCAACAACAGAAAAATAAATCAATTGAAGTACGTAGGAAATGTAATACGTTACCGAGTAATCCTGGATTGATGATTTGGCATCGAGATATTGACGACATGCATCGCGATCAATGTCATCAATAGTAGTGAGTTTACCGAGAAGATTGAAGAACATACGGAAGAGCCCCTGTTTGGATATACGCGATGGCTTTCCAAGTTCATCCTTGCCAGTTGTGCAATTTATTACCTCCGCCTCAGCTTGACCTGGAAAATATGTGATGCATGGAGTAACAAATTCAGTCGATATTCCCTTATCATTTTCAATGCACGAATTACAAACCAACTGTCCAATTGACACTGTAGTTTGGCGCCTTCCCAGGCTGTCTGACTTCGGAAGACGTTATGAGGCTCATCAGTGGCTTATTCAATCGATATGGAGGTGGTAGGCCCTGTATTGTATTCTCAATTCTTCCACAAACCGCTCGATACATGTGACTTGGATTTAGTAGACTGCCAAGAACGATGCTGTGGAAGTAAATAGGCTCGATGAAGTGGCTGAGGAGTGCACCTTGCACACCTAGTACGTTCCATCGAGCTATTTTATCCGAACACGACATCGTCAGCAGTCTTTGACCCTTTAATCAGATTAGTTCATTCATTGCAGTTGTATTGTACCAGAATTTACGTTCCATCTAGAAATTCCTGGGTATTTATTTCCATCCTTCTTTATCTGATGCCAAATATCCATTGATCTAAAAAGCTATTGATTTTTAGAGGAAAAACATTTCCTCGTTGTCGAATTGTTTTGATTCCTTTGAAAATTTCTCAGTAAATTATTTTGGAAAGTAAACGAACAATCTGGTGAAATTGCCGGGGTGAAAATTCAATAGTTAAATTACTTGAATTGTCATCGAGGAAATAGCCTTAATTACCATGAGAACACCATCCCAAGTTTGAATTCCCTCGCTGCTCTTGACTGGAATGGTCCCCTCACCAGACTCAATTTTCGTTCTGAGCTGTCCCCTGGCGCGTCTATTTGGATGCTTGTCAACAGACTCGTTCTCCTCGTGGGGTGAGAAAATTCTAGCGTCTCCGCAGGGGGCTGTGTTGATGTACAAATGGAATTGAATTCCTGGCCTGACGCGGTAACCCTTCTTCACGGGTTCTAGGATGGATTCGTCAGCCCGATTCTCGGTGTAAAGCGCGAGTTGCTTGTAGAGGTATTCGCAGAGACATCGACGAGCCACAACTTCTGCATGACAATCATTCAGTGCACCACCAGTCACACTCAGATGTTCTCCAGAAACACATTTGGTTCCTGAATAAAATAATTCGTTCAAGGATCGGTCGCGTCATCTTTCCAAAGTTATTCTACATTCTTCTTTAAATCTCATTACTAACGAGCTAGAAAAAAAAATAATGGGACTAACGTTCGAAAGATAATACAATCAAGCCTCAAAGATTTAAATATTCAAGCAGAAGAGAAGATTTTTCACCCACTAAATTATGCTTCTCCCCAAACAGGAACGAACCTGTAGTAACGCAGATTAATTCAGCCTCCTGTCCTTTAGTCTGTACAATACCAGCCAGAACCTTGCGTCGGGCATGCTGGGGTTTACTCTGCATAAGCTCCGTGAATTTCTGATTAACCATTTTGCCAATTTTATCAGCCAACATTTGTGGCAAACTCATCTGCTCGTGCGGTTGTCCCAGATTTGGAAAATTTGGCATTCGCACTGGTAAACCAGTGAGTGCCATGCAAAACGTCGAACTGTGGACATTTCTCAATTTAGCCAGTGCTGCTTTGCTAGCAGCAGCTTTGGCTAATTTTTTACTGGGACCAGTTCCCTCGAATGTCTCACCATCAATGGTCACGGCTATTGTGAATTTAGCATAGCTCTCGCCATTGTCCGAGACACAGGTGTAAACGACTCCTGGATAAAGTTCATTAATCAGCGCAACTGGGCCTTTGTCGATGTATTTACCAGCGTTTTTAGGCTCTTGACTCAGTGTCTTAAATGCATTAACGAGGTGATTATCTTTTTCTGTGACGTCACTTGTAAAATCGGGCTCGAGAGTTGGTACGTTCTGACACGTATTCATTGCCTGGTGTACCTCTGGCGCATTTCGAAATTGCACGATATTTCTCAATGCTAATTCAGCCGCTGCGTGTTTTGCCATTTTTTTCGTACGGCCCTTACCCTCGTACGTTTGTCCATCAATTTGCACGGCTATTGTAAATATGGGAGCGTGAGTTGGCCCTGTCTGGGACACAACTTTGTACACCGCGCCAGTTTTTAATTCATTCAGGGCACATACTGCATTTTTTGGTTGTGGATTTTTGTGACGTTTTTTAGCTACTGGTGCACCTAGATGAATAGAATAAAAATTCAAGCATTTTTTATTTGATTTTATTTGAGAGAAATTTGATAGTACTAGTTATCTTTCATTGATGAAAAAAATCCTGCTCCTTTCAAAATAATTGAATATTCATTGAGAAAGTACGGGTCGCTTTCTTCCGTTGCGTGTTATCGCGGCACTGTTTATTTTATAATTATGAATAATGACATTCAGCAGATAAAAATTAAAAAAGAATCTCCTGGCATAATCTACTTGGCCCGAGTGGCAAATACACCAGCAGCGACTCGAAACAATTAATTCCCCGTGTGATAATTAGGCTCTCGTGACTGGAACCCTCGATAAAAGCGTGACAAAGTGTCCCAACAATTGCCAACAAAAAAAAAATACCAACAGATCAAGCACACCGTGATGTAACCAGTAGCCCACGAGGTGCACCATGAAATTAAAAAAAATAAATAATAAAAAATACCTACACAGGAAATTTCCAACCCCAAAAAACTGACCTTCAACAATGGGATCAGCTGGTCTTTTGACAGCAGGCATGGTGACGCTGATTTTCTCAATCTTGAAACAAGAGAAAAAAAAGAACAAGAGATCTCATGAATAAATCTTCTCAGCTCCAGCCTAAAACACCACCAAAACAAATAAAACAGAGACAACTCACCCCCATTTTAGTTTGCCTCCCCTCCGATGCTGCAGTGGTGCAGCCTGCAAACATCAGAGATTTAATTCAATAAAAATATAAAATAATCTGACACAATAAACTCACCCTTTTGCTGTGACTGATTGTTATTCAACAATTGAACACCATTTGACATTGTCCCCAGTGGTGTGCAAATTCTCAGGTAGTTAGGGATGAAAACAGTAAACTAATATCTGCAAAGACAAGGCATTCCAGAAACACTGCACTAATGCATTGATTTTGATTATAATGCTGGGGAGCAAACGAGTCACTAGCGCCACTCTCGTACAGTACCAATACCCATAACCTTATTTTCCCAGAATTTTTCATAATATTTTTGGATTACTGGAGAGTTAAGGTGCAATGTCATGCAATTGATGGAACCTTGAGTGGTTGCACTGGTGATACAATTAGTGGAAAAAGGATGACACTTTTAATACATTAAAATGGAGTACTTACCGAAAAAAGAACGAAGCGATGAAACGAGCGGGTAAACCACCAGGAACGTATCAACACTGAATATCCACAACGGTTTGGTCTCTATTTGGAGGGTTTCAGGGGTTCTTGGACACTGCGCATTGCGGCTACTCCTGGTGCGCAGTCGATAAAACTCAGACGAGGGGATCGAGCGAATTATATACATGTGTATATACACTTCCGGAGTTGGATGAGAGAGGGGAAATGGCACGGAAGGATCTAAATTTTGCCTTTTATACTTTCCGTTGGTGGGTTGGAATGAGGCATTTTTTTTTTCATATTTGGGACACGTTTCTGGGGGCCAGGGGCAGGTCTAACGTACTCTTATGGCTCCACGTGTTTTATTTGTTGCTATAATACTACCCGGTCTTTACCGGCAAATCGATATAGCTCGATTTTCGATGGGGAGTCGCTCATTTGCAAGCCGTTAATTATTCATTGCTTGCTGCAGTCAGAGGTGCAAATAGATTCGGCCAATAGAATGGAATTTTAACGTATTCGGGTGGAGGTTGGGGTTGTTGAGATTATTTTTTTGGGTATTGGGAAAAAAATGAAATAATTCAATTTGGATGCCAAAAATAGCAATAGGGGTGGTTTTTTAAAATATTTTTTGCGGAGTTGGCTTTTTAGGTGGGTGGAAAAAAAATTTCTCACTTGCAGGAAAAAATTCTTTAATTCAAGAGAATTTCAGTTGAGGTAAATGGTAACTCTGCAATGGGGATCCCACTAACTTGTCTGAAGTGAAAATTCATTTATTTCGAGTACGAAATAGACTCAAAGGTTTCAACAATTCATGCTTCCAGTTTTGCAGAAAATAAATGCATAGAAACTAATAAAGAGTTTCTTCATTATGTAAGACATTGAGCAACCGCTGAAAGTGGGCAGTAATAATTAGGGAACGATAACGATGTTTAGAACGAAATAGTTTTCCTTAAGTGAAAAAAATAATAAACTTGGACTCTAGGGGACTGATATATTTTTTATCCTTTTATCATAGTTTCCAGTTGGTGTTCCACGTGACGGAATAGTCGTTGTATAAGTCCTCTGAGTCTGTCGGGAATAAAAGTAGAAAAGAAGAAAAGACACCGAATCGAGGGTAAGAGGATGGGGTAGAGATAATGACGTCTTACGAACTGTTGGCAAAGAGTTTATTACCGGGTCCACTGGAGTTTCATCGCGGCTGAATAATTACGAGGAGAATAACAAGTTCATTTAATCCTCCCGCGATGAAACTGTCCAATATGAGGTAACACTGAGGGCTAGGTATAACAATTCCCTTTTGCGTAATCCTATTTTCATCGAGTCAATAATTCATCTGATGTTGTCACGAGTGTTATAACAAAGTGAACAATTTTTCAAACAATTTTCCCGATAATTCGATGTTCGTGTCCACTATCTGACTTGCATGCAATCGAGGGTTATCGAGGTTGGTATAAAGTCGCTTGAAAATAATGGAGTAAAAAATTTTGAAACGTCAACGCCTTCACATCGACATGAAAATCGTCGGACTCTTTCTCCAGCTGATGTGGGTATTTCTCATCGTTCGAGGGGTGAGTGATTAATAAAGGTAAAAACTGTCTCAGACAATCGATTTCTATTCTCCGCCGACTATTTTCAGGACGACAAGGATCCGCATGGACCCATCAGAGAGAAATGTAAAAAACAGTTTGGATTGACTACTGGTAGGTGGATGGTGTTCTTTGATGGGACTGATAATTACTTGGATTGATTTTTTGGTATTTTTAGAGGAACTCGAGGCGGCCATTTCCGATCCCACGGACCAGGGGTGCTATTTGTTGTGCTTCTTGAAGGATTTGTCCATCGTATGTGATTTACTTGTCGTTGACCGGGTGATTTATGCTTTTTATGTTCCAGATGGATGACAATGGGGAGTTTTATCCTGACGCTGCTGTCAATGCTATTGAGGAGGGTGCCAGAGACCAGGCGAAACCTGTCATTTTCTCTTGCTCTGAGCAAGGTGACACCACCAGAAAAATTATTTATTTCAACCCCATAAGTCCTTTAAATCGTACATTTCATTCTATCATAATCATATGAGAGGGTTTTTTATTTTTTTTTTTCGGGATCATTACAGAGAAAATGTCGACGAGTAAGGACGCCTGTGATCGCGCTTTAGAAGTGGTTTTATGTGTTAAAAAAGAGGCTCCTCAGGTGAGTTACATGCATTACATGAATTCTGATAATGCACGAATTTTCAATGAGAAGTTGCGAAATTTTTTTTTCAGTTGTACGAAAATTTCGGGCTGTTCCACCCTCTGGGGCAGTAGCAGTGAATCCTGGAAAAATGGACCTCATTCAAATATTCAAATATTCAAAAATAGATGAAAAATATGATCATTCAAAATGATCCCATGAACGACGTCCTTGCACGCAATTGCAGTCAATAAAACCGAGTAAAAAAAAAAAAATAACTGGCATTTTCTGTCCTAGTTATTTATCATAGACTTGTACCATTCCGGTGAGGCTTATTTTCGTCTATTGGCATTCAATCTTCACTCTCACGTGAACGATATTTTGTCAATAAAAATTCGATTGAAACACTCAAGGAAAATGCATGCGGTAGACAGCGAGAAGGACTGAAAACTATCAGGAATTGGCAAGCATCCATTCGACGAACGTCGCGTGTGTTTCCATTATTTTGTTTTAAATCGGTTATATATCGTATGACGTGGGGACAGTGAAAAGGCTAGAAATCGAATTCGATCCAAGGATTGATTACACGACTGGAAAATGACTCGAAATTTCAAAATTCAGCAATAATTTAATTTTCCATAACTTGCGATTCAATGCTATATTAAATATATTTCAATCTGTACACTGGAATATTTTCAATGTCCTATGAGAATACAATAATTCAAAAAGTTGCCTCGTAACTTTTGTTGGAGGCTAATTAGAAAACCCCAGCAGCAGAATTTTTAATGCTTTTCATTAATTCGGCCCAGTGCCTTTACTAACATTTAAAAATGGTGGGCAATAAATCAGACGGTTTATAGGTGTAAGATTAATAGTTGGTAACAGTCAGTTGCACGTTCTTTATGCACAGTCGACTATTGCTTTTCCCGTTGCCCACAATGAGGGTTGTCTCAATTGCTCTAATTACCACTGCCTTACTCCTAGCTCTAGTGAGTGTATTTGCTAATTAAATTCATCCGTGGCCGCATTAAATATTTGTCATTCTGTTGGCCAGGGGAATAATTATTATTGATTGACCGTACACTGTTAATAATTCTCTTTTTGATTTTTGTTGTAAGCGCTAATTGAAATTTTGAGAAATTTTGATGAGTGTATCGAAATCTCTTGCTTTCTTGGAAAAAATCGGAAAATTAATTATTTCAGTTGGGGGCTGAAGCTGACATCCGGAGGGAATGTCGCAAGCAGACTGGTGTCTCCTGGGGTGAGTCAGAAGATTATTCCGCAGAATAATTGGGACTGAGTGAAATTTCGCTAACAAATGGGGGAAAATTGTGAGATTGCATGAATTGGTTTTCAGGTGGGTTGAAGAAACTGCGGGCGGGGAATTTCCAGCCGGAGGATAGAAAACTCAAGTGCTATATCAAGTGTTTCCTGCAGAAGAATGGAATTTTTGGGGAAACGGATATTGATATTGATAAGACCCTCAGGCATCTACCGTGGGGCATTCAGGGATCTTCCAGAAAAATTCTCGAGAGGTGCAAAAAAATTCGTAAGTCGATCGCTCTGAGATAAATTTTTTATCACTTCAACATTTTCGGGCTTTTCGAGTTTTCCCAAAAATTTTCCTAATGAGAAATTATTATAGCGAGCAGAGATACATGTGATAAGGCATTCCAGATATTGAAATGTTATCACAAGGCTGAACCGCAGGTATTCATCATTTTCCAAATCATTTTATTCTTTTTTTTTTACCGAATTCAACTGAAATCTGTGAGAATATAGAAAAAAGTCTACATTTCAAATCTAAAATTATTTTTACAACCAATTTATTGTATTTATTATGATATTTTTTTCAGATATTGAAGATTGTTGCCTTTGTGTAGAAATTGAAGGAAGTTGTAAAGAAAATTATTTATCAACATTAGGATTTTCAATTCATAGACTATTTTCAGAATTTTATCCGTAATGATTTATTTCAATTTTATTGCAAAAGTTCTCCTGTTTTATTTTGCCAACTTTTTAAACAGCGGCCGGCAAGAAAATTCCGCACTTATCGATTTACCGACTAGCCCCTTTCGTTCATTTGAAATTGACTGTACCGAGTTTAACGAGAGGTGGGAGTACAGTATCAAGACGTAAAAAATTCTGGAATAAATGAATTTTTTAATTCCCCGGACGAATGCAGAATGAGCTCTTCATTCCCTGACGATCCGTCCATCCATTCAAGTTAACAACACGATGTTTATACGGCTAAAAATAATTGTGCATAAAAAATTATATATCCTCCATTGAAAAAAATTATCAATGTTTTGTCATAATTACTGTCACTTCGCATTGTAGCGACAGTAAAAATATTCCCTTGAAAAAAAAGTGCATTAAAATTCCAAAGGTCACGAGTCACGTACATTTCACTGCACAATTTTCCCGTCCCGAATCCATTCCCTTTTTATTTCCATTCCCCGAAAATTTGGCTCGCCGTTATGTGCCAAATAACTTCTGCTTGAGACACAGCGAAAACTTTTTCGACAAGTGAATGAGAATCTAACGTCTGAATTCCACAGTTGAATCCTCGAGTATAAAAAAAATGAGGGTCAAGGGCGCAAGGAAAATAGCGGAAAACTTGAACTCTCATTGGGCAATTGGTGAATATCATCTTCCAGATAAAACCATCCAATATCAGTCTAATAATTTTCCATTTTCCATCGGTTTAACGATATTCTGAGTAATTTCAAAGTGAATTAAAGATGAATTGAGGGATCAAGTTACGCAAATCAGATGGCGTTTTCCCTGGAGGAAATTGTTCCCAGTCGTCTGGCGTCTTTCCAATGACGTGTTTCCCACTTCTTCCTGCTGGCACTATAAATCGGTCCTGGCCAGAAGCCGGTGGATGCGAATTTTCCCCGTTAACCGCAACTGAATCTCGACATTTTATTTTTCGTTACATATCATAGCGAAAAAAAAAATGATAGAACCAAGAGAAATTTATTTAAATCGTGCTCGTACTTCGCCTCTGGTCACCGCTGAAAACATCAAAACGGTTATCCCAGTGGAAAAGCTGAGTTCTTAAAAAAATAGTACCGGGATTAATTCTCAGCATGTTCAAACGAGTGGAAAAGCCCAGCGTTCAATCAGACTGTCATCCGCACCAAACCATCGGTGCATCATAAAAGATTTGGATTGCGCTGCACGATATTTTTTTTTTTGTTTACCCAAAAAAGGTATATCCACACTAGGTATTCATACACAGTGAGACGTGCAAAACAAATTGGAAGGTTTTGAAGGATAGATTGAACTCAGCGTACAGCATGAAACATTGGAGTTTTCGTTTACAGTCCTCATACGATTGGTGGATGTGCACCAGAGAGAATCCATCGTAACAAGAGAGAGCCCGAGGATATTCCTCTCCTATCCAATGTCAAATTCCAGGTGTGATATTCACCAACTGGACTCGTCGAATATATTAATATTCCAGGGCTGAGTGTATCATGAAATTTTCGAAAAAAATTCATGGATTCGTTTTCCTCCCTTCGTCCTTGATGATAATTGAAGAAAAATCCGTATTAATGAAAATAAAGATGACTTCTATCCTGGTGTCAAGAATATCCCGGTAATATCCCAGTAATTCTGGTACAACAGTTTAAACATGGAATTACGCCTACTGCTGGTTTTGTCAAGTGGCGTACACTCGGGCTGTTTGTCCTCCAGGTTGGTGGCTCTCCCATCACCAGAAAACATTTAAATCCTCTCCTCTGGTCCCTCTCACCCTGGACAGCGCAGAATTCACTCGTCCATGCAACTCTCTCGCCCAGTAATAACACGTTTCTGCGATGGGACTTTGTATACAATACCACGGGCCCCTCATACACGTCAACAATTGTCTCTGTGTTAAACATGATACCGTACGTACATGTCACTCATCCCACCGGATTTGTGGATTTAACAAAAATGAACGGTGCGATGCATGTGAAATCCATCTTGATGAATGAATAGGTAGTATTTATACAACGCCAATGGGGAAGGGGAGGGGCATTGGTACTTCATTGTTATGGTAATTAGGGCTTTTACTTCAGCTTTTTCATGGGCGGAGTCAGGCCTTCGAGGGCTTCAAGTTTCATACTTCACGGGTTGCGTATAAACACGATTCTATTGAATTAACCGAAATTACGTGAAATACTTGGTGAAATACTTTTATTTTTTTTTATTTTAATTAAAAATAAAAATTCATTTGACTTGATTGAAGTACTCTTTTCATTTCACTCATCTGCTTAATCATGTGGAATTGTTGCCGGAAGATTTGGATGCAACTGTCAGCGATGTCGGCATGATCAATGGCTGGCCAATTTTTCCCACCTCAGTGAGAATCTCAATTAAAACTTTATTAACGAAGCCCCAGAGGCCGCGATTAAAGTCAATTCCAGGGGTCTCAGGATGATGGCACTAGTTTAACCGCACACTGGTCGGCTTTCTACCTCTATCCTTTTGCTCCTCCACACCGGTACGTGCAATTTAAATGTTAAAATGGTACGAGGGCTCCTCACCCTGGCAAGTTGAAAAAATCCGACAAGTCCACCGTCGGACTCGGGACTCGGATCCGTTCCCACTCAATTCAATCTTTTTTCTTTTTTTTTTTCTTTTCACCTTTCCCCTTTCTTTACTACTGAACTCACTCCACCATTTTATTCTTCACAGCCTCATTCCAACAGCGCTCCTCTGACCTCATATTTGTCCTGGAATTTTATCCACCTTGTAATTACATTTTCGGCATTTTTTGGATTTATTTATTTTTATCCCTAATCCTAGGAAGTGAACGATGAATATTGTAATGAGGAATTCAGCCCCGAGGGACAGATAGAATTCCCTTTGAGCAATAACGATACATCAATATTTTCAGGGAGTGGAGAGCCTAAAATTTCTCGGACGCTTGATGTATTGATCGTAATTCGATCCGTCATATCTTTTGGTATCAGATAGTGGCCCCTTCAACGATTTATAAAGATGCACCACCTACTTCCAGGAAATTGTGGTAGAGGAGAAAAAAAAATTCTAATTTAGAGAGATAAATTCATTTTTCCAATGACGCGCCTTGGATTTTTTTATCGCTCTCCTCAGGAATTGGGAGATTTTCGTGACTGGGAATTGGTGCTGTGAAATCTTGATGAGCGGGAAATAGCATAAAACCTTTTCCTGTCACATATCCCCACGATAATCATGAAATACGGAATGAGAATCAATAATTCCTGAAGTATAAGATTGTTTTATTGAATTTAAAATATAACGATTTAAAAATAATATCGAATTCACTGATAATTTCGCATGAGGAATTTTTAAGGTGTCCTCCATTTTACTTCCCTAGGTCATAAAAATACATTTAGCGTCCAGATTGGGTGAATTGTCACGTAGTTTTCGTAAAGTTTATTCCGTTCGTGGGAATTCCCGAAGGGATAATAAGACGCTGGAGATACGCACTGTAGAATGGGCTTCCAATAAAGCTCCGGGTGTCCAGGCCACAGGGGAATGACGAGGTGCAACGCCTGATACTCTCTATCATCCCATATAACCCAATGGGTTGTGTTGGATGCGGGTGGATAACCCACTGGTGGGATCATCGGATTCCAAACCACGCGTGGGATTTCTCATATGCGGAGTGCATATGAGAAATCCCCATTATACGACCGAAATCCTCCGTCTTACCGACTGTTACTCATTTCCATTCACTGCCAATGTGTTTTCTATTTTTTCCACACACCGTGTGTAAAGTGGCATTTTATGCACGGCTAAATCCAACCCCTGGTCGATGTTTATCGGCGGATATCTCGGGAACCAGCAGTGATAAAAATATGGGGTAAGATGCAATGAAAAGCCCTTTTAATTCTAAAAATGACGGATTTTTTACTTTTTTGATGTTACTGTTCTTTCATGAGATATTTTATTTTGAAAATCGTTGACAATCTTCATGAAAATTGAGGGTAAAATAATTCTACTAGCGTCAAAAGTAGTTTTTATTTTTCTCATGAGGTTGAAGAATCTTTTGTGTTAAAAGAGCAATGAGTTATTCATTTGTGTTTGCCTATGAAAATGAAATATGATAAAATATCCAGAATCCAGTGGAATATAAGAGAGAGTCGGCATATTTGATTTTAAACGACTGAATACATCAGAAAAAAAATGATACGGTGTTGCTCGCGGGGAAAATGGATGGGGAAATAACAGAATGGGTGAGATAAATCGACCTGGAGTTTTTCTCTTTAATTTTCATCGTGATAGATCGGGGATTTTGAGCGATGATGCTCGAAAAAAAGAGACGAGAAGAAAAAAAACAAAGAAAACGTTCTCACGTTCTCCTTATCATCTCTCCTACCAGAAAACAAAAGACCACTGAGGGTTAACGTCAAATAAAAAATTCCCAGTCCTGCCTGGGGGCTCATATTTACTCTTGGTTTTTATTTCCGGAAAATTTTCGAGTGCCATCATGTGTGATCATTGCTCGTGAGTACTTGTCCATAAACTAAATAAAAATTAATTCCAGATTTTTTTATTTGATTCTGGAATCTCCAATTTATAACTTACATCTGGATAAAATGTAGAATTGAGTGGAGAATCCAGAAAAAATCATGAGTTTGCATTTTTTTTTCTTAGCGTAGGCAGGAGAATTTAGTGCTCAATAAAAATTATGGGTTTTTCGAAATTTCGTGGAGGATAGGATTTTTGCCGAGTTTTTATTAGAGTGACTACCGGAATTTCTGTAAAAAAAATTTCCGGTACTTAACATTTCTGAGTTGTTTCCGTAACCGCTGAGAAAATTGTGAGTTCCGTAAATTCTCTTGGATATTTATCTCCGTGAGCGAAAAAATTCAGTATTTTTTCACTATTTTTCCTTTCATTTGTGTTAACAGAAAGGTCAGCGGACAGAAGGGATACTCTGGACAGGTCACTTGTCGATGCGATGGGTATGTGTAACGAAATTCGTAAAATAACTGAAACAAAGAGGAATTTCCGCCCAGCGAGTGCATTGAGTTGAACATTTCAGATTATTTTTCATATTTGTCGTCATAGGGAGAAAAATTTGTAATGAATGCAAAAAAGAGAAATTCGGTTTCGGTCTCTTGCAGGATATTTTCATTAATTTAAAAAAAAAATCATTCTTTTACGGCATAACTCGGGCCATGAAGAATTTCACTGCAGTGCAGTCATGAGACTAGAAATTTCCAGAAATGTTTCATTCATCGCATGTCATAATTCATAATATTTTTCTTTATTAACAAATCTTTAATCCCGTCATCCAGTAACAAGAAGAACCTTCAATTTATTTTTTAGTAATGACAGGAAAGAAATGCCGAAGGAGAAGAGCAACGGGGGCTGTTGCGGTGGCAAAAGGTGAGTGAAATAAAATTTCGAAATCCGAGGTCCGAGGCCGGACTATTCATTGATAAAATCCCTGTACGAATCCGATCTGTAAAAAAACATGAAACCAGTCCCGAAATCATGTACAATAATCAATCATTGCGTCATGATATTTACGAATTAATGACCCCTCACTAAAATCAGAACAATGAGTCTTTTTTTTCAGATTTTTTTCATCGGGGGAATAATTGGGGAATTGTAATTCGTTAAAAATTGCATTATTGACCTGCACAGGGAGAGAAAACAGGATGATGGGCCCAAGTGTTGTCCAGGTATGAGGTCCGAGGCCGTTGGATGCTGCGGAGGAAATTCTAAAGCTCATCAACCCAAGGAGGAAAAAAAGGGCTGCTGCAAACGCTCAGGTGAGGTGGACCCAATAATTGAATTATGTCACTTCGCTTTATATTGTCTCATTATTTATTAATTTCGTTAAGTCCTGAGGTTTAATAATCGTGACGTATTTTTTTTTTGTGGGCACAAGTAGTTTTCCCTCTCATTAAAATTTCTCACAATTTCCTAGTAATTTTTATTCAACTTTTTCCCGGTGCATTTGGAATAATTCTCCATCATTTATCTCACATATTTCGTTTTCATTCCATTTTCCCGGAATTTTCCCGTTCGAGTGAATTTAATTGGGATATCCACCAACGGGAAATACCATTTTTTGGTTTTAAAATTTGAGGACCGCGATTTTTATTTTTATTCTTTTAGCATCGGAATTGCGGTTCTGGGGGTACATAAAAATTGGCATTTTTTGAATGGTCTTTTTTTACGGCCCGAGAGGTGGAAAATTATTCTTTCGTGTGCACTGGGGAGAACTGAATTGAAATGATTTTCGTGGCCTTTTTATTTATTTTTCGTGGAATTGGAAATGGGTGGAAATACTGAAATATTAACGGAGTCGATTACACGGAGTGTTAATTCAATCGGTTGATGAATTTTTATTGAAGAAATTAAAGTGCTATCCGTAGGGATTGCAGCAGCTGGATATTTGCAGAATCCGCTGTAAAAAATCTATACTGTAAGTATCAATTTCCTTTCATTGATTTCCAGGGTGAGAGAGACGAGCGGATGCTGTAAGCCTCATTGCTGTGGCACCAAGGGGAGAGAAGAAATAATTTCCATAGCAACATTCAATGAATTACACAAAACAAACGGAATTAACGATTTCCCCTAAAATTAATGAAAAGACCAAACGAGTTAAACGTGATTCAAGTGACATTAATTACCCAATAATCCGATAATTATCGTTTCAATTAAAAAACGCGACTATTGAAAATATTCTGAAAATGAAAATTTAATAAAGATTGATATTTCAATTTCTAGTAACATTTCGCCTCACCCCCGTAATTCAGGGTAATTTTAAATAGTAAAATTTAGTGAGTGTTAATTATAAAGCAGATTAATTCTTGTTGATGAATTTGATAATCACCAGATGATCTGGAGCGTTAAATTCAATAGTTGACGGTACTTGGTGAATACTTGGATGGTGGAAAGCTCATGTTGTGATGTATTTCGTGACTGCCAAGCATATCGGTCCGTAAGTAACTCAAGTGCAGACAACTAAAAGCTGTACATCAACAGTTCAAGTCAAGTGGCCTCACACGTACGGTTCAACCGCCGAATAGCGTTGACAACGAGGTCTGGGAGGTACAGAGGAAGAGAAGTTGTGCCGGCAATGAAGTAATAACCGTAATAACGAGGATGAGCCCATCGTGGCATGCGCGAGTCAAGCCAGGGATTCGTGGCTCGGTTGGATAAAGATTAAACTGAGGTTTCCTCTTCTGCCACTGGGATTTGCTATCCGTGTCTAATGGAGATGTACCTCTCGAGAGTTCATTCATTTCTCTGTGACGTACGCCACACAAAGACACCAGAATAAATGCAGTTGAGGAGGTAGAATGGGAATTTGAGAAAATGGCGTTTTGTTTTGGGGCGGGCTTTGGATTTCTTTTCATCTTGCCTCTTCTTCATCTTTTGTTTGGTTATTTCATTTACTGTGGGTGCTGTTGAGATTCGTTGAGAAAAGGATATTACAATGTTTTTGGAAAATCGAGTGTAAAAATTGTTATTAATATTTGAATTTACAATAATCGAATTCTCCCTAAAAAAAACATTTCTCATTTTATTTTACAACTGAGAAATAGCTAGCGTGAATTTTTTTTTTCCCGCCTCTGCAAGTAATGAATGACTATTTTTATTTGTCTGGGAAGGAATTCCGAGGGAATGAGCTGAGTGGAAATATTTTTCTCGAAAGAAATCGAAATCGAAATCGGAATCGGATAGCCAAGGGGTTGAGATAGAATTGTGTACATCGGGTTGATGTGAGCGAAATGAACAAGGGGATACCGATGGTATGAAAAAAAGAGCAGTGTTGGAATTGGAGTGAGAGGTGATTAACGAGTGAGAGAGAAATGTGGGTGTAAGGGCTGAAGTTGCGTGGGTAAATAAATTGCGCAAGCGCCAACAAAGTGACGAGCTTTTCAGCCACGCGGCGGCAGTCTGTCTCAAACCGCGAAACTCCCGCCTTAGAACGAGGAACAATACTAACTCCAATATTGTCGCATTATCGTGACAATAATAAACCCAATCAATGCCAATTGACGTGATCGATAAAAATTAAAATGCTATCGAATTTTCATTTTTCGCCTCACTGGATTTTTCGTTGATTAGTTTGAGTGGATTAATTACAAGTGGATTTCATAAGTTACCCTCTGTGATTGTTCAATGTGCTAGTCCCTGTGAATTTAAGGTGGTCCTTCTCCCGGGATTCTTCAGTCACGAGGAAGGAAACGAGTTTAATTCAATTTTCAGTGGGGAAAAGGTGAATTTTTTTAAGGTAAAAGAAAGTTGGAAAAGTTATTTATCGGGATTTCCTCTTGTTTTAACTCAGTTACCACCCTGTGTTCAATTTTTTTTTCTTCCCCTTTTTTTAACGTCTTTTCTTGGTGAAATTAACGAGTAATTGAAGACGCGGGGGTTGGTAAAAAAATTGTGGGAGGATGTAATTGTATTGAAGAGTTTTGGACGCGTGGATTTTTCTCGATGAGAATTTTTTGGACGGTTGACTATTAGTTTTTTCAGCCCTAAATATTTTTATGGCACATGCGGAACGAATATGTCGGCAGAAAAGTAACATAAAAATTTTTTACTGCCCTAAAGGGAAGAGTTCAGGGATGAATTTAGGGGTATGTGCAGTTAACTCTTCTGAATTACGATTGTCAAGCCGAAAATCATCAGTTCTGGAGGTATTGGCGGTGTCGTAAAAGGTGAATACCAGTGGTACACATGATCCAATGTCGTAAAATGCAGTTTTACGTTCGAAAATATATGTTGACCCTAATCAACCCACCCACCACCTCACGATTATTCCAAACTGGTGGATAAACAATCAGAGTGACACGGCAAAATCGTGATATGTTTAGTTTCAGTAATATATCTCCTTCTGTCAATAAATTTCATCCTTTCTTCATCATCAACTCGAAGTTCTCTCCGGTTATCCATTTATTGACATGAATTGCCATTTTTTATCGATCACAGGAGAAACCATACACTCGCCCTCTTCATCGCCTTCTATTCACTTTTATGCGGAGTAATAACATTTTTCTTTATGAATTTTTCCCCATCGTAAAATGTCCTGCGAAATTCGCGATGTTATCAGCGAGTGTTTTTGGTTCATCATGTGAACATTAGAGATAATTAAATGCCACTGCATTTTATTTGATTTTCCCGCGGTTTTTATATGTGGTGAGAGTTTACAGTGGTCTTTTTTAAATTATGGCCCTAATCTACATAATTTTTAAGAGTATTAAAAATTTTGTTTTATGAGACTGTCGTAAAGACTCTCGGCTGGGGTTCTTCATAAATAATGAAGGGTCCAAAACAGAATTTTTCTTCCCTGAAGAAGCTGACGGAATGGAAATTTTCAGTGACTCGAAAAATAACTCAAACATTTTATCCATAATAAAAAAAAAATGATTGAAAGAATTCACAGGCTCTTGGAAATTCATCTCCTCAAAAGAGTGATTTTGAAAATTTGATTTTCGGTTTAGATTAAAATTTCTGGAAAAAATGGAGTGACAAAAATATAAGATTCACTGTTTTCCTCGATTCTGGTTATTTTTCTGGGAGGGGATGTTGGAAAGCGTTGGAGTTTGCGGAAAGATGATGTCTTGATTCTTACAAAACTCCGTCTTCCGTTTTCCCAACTGCTCCGTCAATCCCCCGATGCCCAACGTATCCACTTCAGACACATCTACTTTACCCAGGGGATGTGTCCTTTCCACCTTTTTTCTCTTTCTCCCCTCAACCTGCCACTGGATATCCCATCAGGGGATAAACTTTATCTCTCTTAATTGGCTCCTTAATTCCCTAATTGCAGATACAAGAGTACCCAATCATGATATAGTCATTCGATTACTCTTTTTGCACCCATTGCATTTTTCTAAATTTAAAAAAAAATCGCGCGAAAAGAGAAAAATTTCAAATATTTATTTAAACTGGGAGAATATTTTTTTTTATTTTCATTTGCAAAAGTTGAGAGTCGGGAAAATTCCATGCGAAATGAAAAAGGCAATTCATTAGTTCCACATGTATTTGATAAATGGATTCGATCAAGTGGAAACGCGTAGGAAAAAAAATGGAATCCATTGCCTTTACGACGAATTTATGAAAATGCATCATCAAAATGAATGATTGATGGAAAACAATGGAGGCAATCAGGAAGATGAATGATGAATAAAAAAGTCAGTCACAAAGAGGTAAGAAGTGGGTTGAGCCGTGTTGAAAAATACACTTTATAAAAAATGAATGGGAAAAATAGAGTAAACGTCAAAGCAGAAGATTTTTTTCAAAATGCTTTCTAAAATTAAACTTTTGATCCCCCCCCCCCCGTACTCCCCTGTCCGTCAAAAAAACTCCATGGAAAAAAAAATGTGTTGATTGCCATGATTTCCGATAAAAGAGAAAATCCAAGAGAGAAAATCTTTCATCGGAAAATTCACATAGAAATTTCCCCCCTCTCTCCCCCGTTTTTTTTCTCTATTTTCCACAGAATTTCCCTCATACTCTCATGCCTCCTCGGGTTGTCAAGGCAGAACGATTAAAAAAGTTAGAGTTGGTTATCCCCTGGCAGGTGAAACTTTGGTAGCCAGGCGATTTCCCTCGGTGCAGAGCGAAGGGGAAAAAGAATCAAGAAAAATATCAAAAAAAGTATGAGAAGGATGATAGGTAAAAAGCGCATTGTCGTGAAGATAGGGTGGTTGAGTGGTTGTCCCTCTCTTTGCCAAGTAAAGAGTTTTAAATCTAAAAACTTGAAATTGTTTAGTTTTATCGAAAACTTTCTCAAGATGTACCATCTCTTTATTTGGTGAGCCCTTTCTTCACTACAATATCACCTTTTTTCCATCGACTTTCTCCAACCAACGTATTCTAGAACGAACAAACCCATGGAAAATTACACGAAAGAGTTTATTCAGGTCGTGGGGTAAAGTTTCGGGAAAAAGTGAAAGATTCGGTTTTTTTTTTTAACCACCAGGGCCATGAAAAAAATGAATTAAAATTGCCACTTTGTACTGCCTGCTTCGCTCAAGGCATCAATTAAATCCTTAAAAAATTATTTGGAGTCTCTAATAGACTTGTGTCGTTATTGTAATCTGAGTATCCGGTTACGTGAAAAAATTCCATGAACCTATCAAACCTCTGAAAGGTGGAGAATAATAGCGGAATGATATTCAATGATGAATAATCGAAAAAAAAATTTGCAATCCTTCGGTTACTTGCTAGTCACTAATGACTTATGAAAGTTTAATAAATCGGGACAGGAAGCTGTTCTGGACCAGTGATTACCATCCCGTGATCTCGGAATCATCCAACTGAGAGGTCAGAGAATTTTTCATTATCCGAAGAGAAAAATTGTGAAACTTTCACCAGTGAAAACATCACTTGCGTGACCTGTCGCCCGATTAAAAAGTTCTTGCTTCGTGTTTCCAATAAACTCTCGATCTTCACTCCATTTTTTTTTTCTTCAAATTTCCAATCGGCCTAAAAGTTCACCCGAATGTCCTTTGAAGTCCCACATTTGGACACTAGTGTCTTCATCCTTTCGGTAAAATACCAATTCTTTCTAAAACTCGGCCACTGAATTTTCCCAGCTTCTTCGGATATAAAACATTTGTCGACAGTTTTATATCTGCAACGGGGACTGCATGTTTCGAATTTTCCGACTGGTTTCTCTTTGTGGTGGAAAACCTATAACCTCGTAAGTGCTTTCTGAGTGATAACTCCTCTCTGCTTATTCGTTATTGCCAATATTGACGGAGGATTTCTATTTTCCATTCAAGATCAGCTGTCTGCCGTCTGAAGAATACATTTTCCTGTTTTTCAATCGAAAATAGCCATTTTTTTCGGGATTTTTTACACAAAATGGAAATTTCCAATTGAATGTCAGTGAAAATGACAACAATAATTAAGGGGTGATTTTTACAATAAATTTTCATCCCTGTCGAAAAGCGAGATAATCCGAAAATAATTCTTGAAATTTTCCATTAAAACAATTACAATTTCTGACAATCCCGAACGCAAAATAAAATTCATTTCCATTTTATTCTCCAATAATTTGACAATTCCATTAAAAATTAATTTCATATTACAAAAAAAAAAATCCGGTTTGATTCAATACATAGACCTGAAGGAATATTGGAGGGATAATTAAATGATTAAAAAATATGAATAATTAAACGATGATTTCGTTTGAAAATGATTTTTTCGCAGTGAAATAACAGGACAGAGTGAAAAGTTAAAATGGATCTGAATGATAACCTCTTTTAATGGTCACGTGTTCCAGTAAATTCCTGATGACCCAGTTTCCAATGCAATGGCTGAATGTCAGTAAAAATAAGTAATGAAGCTTGGCTTGTGGAATTTTTGTAAAATCGAAAGCAATCGAGTGAAATTCCTGGGTTGCAGGTGGCATGGAATTTGCCAGTGGTGGTTGTTGTTGGCGTAGGAACTCGAATTCCAATTGATGATGAATGAGTTTATGAGGGGTTAAAGAAGGGTGGTGGGAGTAGTTGACTGGATAAACTGGCCTAGAAGGGAGGCTCGATTAATTGATTTAAAATCGATGATACTGAATCGGCTCGATAGTACTTATTCCACACCGGTGGCAATTATTCGTAATTACATAATCGCTTCCCTCAAACACTAACAATAAACATTATCATCATGTTTGGTTTCGTTGGGACAACAGAACAATTCCAGTGGGTTTGATGTGCTGGATAAAACGCTCAATCTCAGTTCGATTATCAAGACTGTAGTTCGATAATTAATTCAACGAGTTCAGCATCTGTTTACCCTCTCTACCGAAAGTCAAACTGAATTATTTCTCCCATCGGAATAGATTATTTAAATGATCAGAGACACTGGAAAATGGGCGCAAATATCCAAGCCACGGATGGAATTGATAATTACCATGTATCGATATATCAATCGCCATTAATTCGGCATACGATATGTCGCACCGAGGGACTAGCCTGAAGGATTCAAATCACAGGTGGATTATTAATTAATTTGTTAAATTAATCATTCAATCCGTTGTATTTGTTTAAATTCTCATGACACCGTCAATTAATTAATCAACATATCAATCTGGATGGATGCATGATGCACGCTCTCCTCACTCTTAATGAAGATAACTAGCCACAACGCGTGGTACTAATGTAATGATGATTAACGAGAGCTGGTACGTGTCTCGTTGCAATTGTCCATTGAAGAATGAGAGGTACCGAGTGACAATACATTAGGAAAGACGAGTTTCTGAGGTGGGATGCATTGAGTCCA